GGAGGGGGTCAGAATCAGAAAGGGTTTGCTCTTTATGAGGAAGACTTCAGCATAGAACAATTAAAAAGGACTGATAAGGGCGCCTGGGTGGCTCAGTTGGCTAAGCAACTGCCTTCGGCTCAGGTCATGATCCTGGAGTCCCGGGATCGAGTCCCACATCGGGCTTCCTGCTCGGCAGGGAGTCTGCTTCTCCCTCTGACCCTCCCCCCTCTCATGTGCTCTCTCTCATTCTCTCTCTCTCAAATAAATAAATAAAATCTTTAAAAAAAAAAAAAAAGGACTGATAAGATCTCTGGGGGGAAAAAATGATTCACATATATTCTTCCCCGAAAAGCAAATAGAACTGATTTGACTAAAATGCTATAAAATAGGAAAAATAATTATACTTAGTAATCCAATTACAGCTAACCTAGTTAATAGAGTGGTATTTAGGAGACATGAAGGTAGAAATTTGAGAAATAGTAAAGTCAGGAGTTATTAGAACTTCGAGTGGTCTGGGCTTCTTCATTAGTTCTGGTTCCAAAATACGACCATAAAATTAGATTGTGTCAATTACAAAAAATAATCTGTTAATTCATAATGCTCCTTTTCTTAGAGTTGAAGCAATATGACTGGATTTTGGAACTGCCAAAGTCATCTCAACTACCAATTTGTTTAAGTTTCAACAAATAGAATTAGGAGAAAACTAGATGCATCAGCTGGGGCTCTTTGAACCAGGAGCAATAGGAAAACCATGCCAGGACCACAGCAGGTGCAAAGAGGTAAGAGGGTCTACAGAACAGAACCATAATAGTCTGATCAGTACACAAGCATTGGAAAGAATGAAATGTCAACTAGTTTTAGTCTTTTTATCCCTCCACTCAAGATCTAATTCCAAGAAGGGAGGTCCAAATTGGCTTCCCTCACGTCACTAGTCCTCTGACTGGCTAGCAGAGAAGAAAGCCCCTGAAAAGTCCCACCCGACTACATCTAAAAGGGAAGGAGGAATTCCTCAAAAGGTGATATTTGGAAGGGGAAATGGGTGCTGGACAGAAAACAGCAATATAAAACCCTGCCCTTGTAACACTTACCTTGGATTGAGGAATATTCCTGCCTCTTCCCAATAGGAAATCCCATCTGCACAGAGACTGAATGTCTGGCTGGGAGACTGAAGTGGACTAAGAGCAATGACCATAAGCCACACGACCAGTGCTCTATTTGATCAGAAGTAGATCAGGGACGTCTGAGACTAGTTCCAAGTGCAATCCATTAAAGTAAATCTGTGATATATTGTGTAAAAAGCCAACATGGACTTCCAGAAGTCCAATACCAAGACAGGAAAATGGGGGGTAAAATGCCTATAATAATAATTTTTTTAAAAGACCAGTCATTTCATTTAGAAAGCTAACAAGCTATTATCAAAGGTTTGTACCTCAGTCCTGGCAACAAGTTGGTTCACTTTTAACTGATTAGGAATAAAACGGACACCTGATGAGATTATACAGCTCCACAAGGTCAGGAAACTTTTGAAAAACTAAAACAGGGTATGAATTATTTAAAAGTTCTGAAAAGATCCAGGCTTTTTAAACCTTTTTATGGTACAAGGTGATGCATCAGTTACTGATTTGGGGATAATTTTATTACAAGATCATGATAATGTAAAACATTCTGTAATATACCCCAGTAGAAAATGATTGCCAGGGGAAAGAAATTTATTTGTCTTCTTTAAAGAAAGAAAGTTTGGCAATTATTTGAGCCATAACATCATTGTTTACGAGAGTACCCTAAGGACTGATCATTAAGCCTTAACACTTGGATAAAAAAACTACTGCTGAGGAGCAGAGGTGGCCAAAGAAGGTTTCAGGACTTCTAAATAAATATTCCATGTGTGCCTAGTTGGTGAAAATCCTTGGGGAGGACGCCCCATAAAAAATAGAGCCTCTACATGCATCTCATAAGTCTATCCTAAGAGGACATTATACTTACAATTTTTCTTAAGTTAAAATAGTTTCATTTAAGGGCGCCTGGGTGGCTCAGTTGGTTAAGCGACTGCCTTCAGCTCAGGTCATGATCCTGGAGTCCCGGGATCGAGTCCCACATCGGGGTCCCTGCTCAGCGGGGGTCTGCTTCTCCCTCTGACCCTCTTCCCTCTCGTGCTCTGTCTCTCATTCTCTCTCTCTCAAATAAATAAATAAAATCTTTAAAAAAAAATTTTAAAAAATAAAATAAAATAAAATAGTTTCATTTAAGAAAGAGAAGAAAAAGATGTAAAAACTGTAGTCTTGTCACATCTCCAGTGTGACCCCCCAGTGTCAGTGGTAGGAAGACAGAGGCCTAACAGGAATAAGCATATTACGACAGGATAAGGACCAGACTGAGTCACAATAAAACAAAAAGGAAAATCCCTAAGGTTTTATTCTCTCCAGCTCTGACAGGCCACAAGATTACTCCTGAGAGAACAGTTCTAAAAAAGAAAGATAAGTTTTATTTGACATATAAGTAGGACTGAAGTATTAGTATCCTCCAAGCACTAGACTGTAGCAAGTGGCCACAGAAGCATCTGTTGAGAAAATGGATCTGAACACACACCAAAGTCTTCCAACAAAGATCAGTCACCACTTGGCCTTGAGACTGTCCAACACCATCATCAAACTCCTTCATTCAAATGCTGGAATTTCAATTATAATAAGGCTCTTCCCTATTACTGCCAGGACAGACTTCCCAACCTTGAACATTAATATCATCTGTCCACCCAAAATCCTCAGACTTCCTCTCTGGTCTCACTTCTTACCCTCTTCTCCCAACAGCCCCCTCTCCCCTTTGCCATTTCATCTGTGCCTCTATGACACTGAATGACCTAGAGGACCACAAGAACTCTATGACCCTTCTAGCTTCAGGAACTTTGTACATGTTGTTTTCTCTTCCTATAAAGTCCTTTTCACCCTTTTCTTCCTCTTTCTCTGGCTACTCCTGCCTATCAGTATTCAACCTCATGATTTCTTTTCTGGAAGTTTCCTTACATATTACCCACTGTTTGATTAGGTACTCCTCTGCTAAATTCCCCTGGAATTCTTGCAGTTAAAGTATCTATGACACTGGGCGCCTGGGTGGCTCAGTTGATTAAGCAACTGCCTTTGGCTCAGGTAATGATCCCGGGGTCCTGGGATCGAGTCCCACATCGGTGTCCCTGCTCAGCAGGAAGCCTGCTTCTCTCCCTCTCCCTCCGCCTGCCATTCCCCCTGCTGTGCTCTCTTTCATTGTCAAATAAATAAAAAAAATCTTTAAAAAAAAAAGTATCTATGACAGTAACCCATAATTACCTACTTACTTGTCTATGTTCCCACAAACTGGATTTATCTTGAAGGCAGGGACCACAAAAAGAAGGCAATCCATCAATATTTGTTGAATAAAGGATTTTTGTTTTTGTTTGTTTTTATCCCCTGTACTCAGCATAATACCCGACACACAGTCGATGTACAATAAATATTTGCTGAATGGATCATAAGTACTCAAAAACATTTGTTGGATGAATGAAGTAATGGACAGATGATCAGAAAGTGCTACATATCAGAAATCTTAAATTCCAATATCTTACTTTCTGACCTCAAACACTTATCCTTCCAGCTCTCTCAGATTCTGATTTTCTGGTCCCTGACCTCAAAGAGATGTCCAGTTTCTTGACATTTCCATGCTCACCAAGTCTTTAAATACCATGAAGGTATCACTTCCCTCTCTATTCAATCTGTACCCATTTTTATTAAGAACTTTTAACCCATACTTTCATTTGTAAAAATCTAGCCCTGTACAAATCTCTGCTGTCACAAATATTCTGCTGTCACAGCTACTAAAAATACTACACCAGGGTAATGCCATACCACCATGCAGATGGGGCCCAGTATAAATTCATGGTCTTCAACTTTAGCTAGAACTTTGTGCTGGCCAGTTCTTCAACTTCCTTGTCAGCTCCCTTATCCATTCCTCATCCATTCCACTCCACTCTATCTTTTCTCTCCTCAGTCCAACTGTCCACCCTTGCTCTCCATTGTTGGCAGATATCCTTGCCTCCTACTTTATCAGATGATTGACATAAAAGGCATAAACTCAACTCTCTGCCGCCACACCAATAGACTTACTCAAATCTACATTGATCTGTTCCTCCTTCCCTTTTGTATCAGAGGATGAGGAGTCTGCCCAGTAGCCTACCCTCCACTGAAGATGAATCACTTTATCTATGTTTTCAAACTCATCTCCTTCCCTGTTCTAATAGGACTGTGCTCTATTATTAACCCCTCTCATATCTTCAATTTCTCTCTTTTCTTCTGGCTCTTCATACTCATTATATAAATATGTGGAACTTTTTCTCTTAAACTCTTCTTAAACTCTGTATCCTCTCCCTAGCTTTGACCTACGTTTTTCTTTCTCTTATCAGCTAAACTACTTGTAGCATTATTCTCTACTTCACCATGTGCCATTCACTCAGCCAATACCATCAAATTTTTATGGGTAATACACACAAAGTTTTAAAAATCCTCTAGCTTGAAATGTGATTACCCTCAAGAATTTAAATTCTAAAATCAACATACAATGAATCGGTAAGAAGACAGAACAATTTCCAGGGAGAGTAAAATATAAATTAGCAATATCCATCTGAGAGAAGGCCTCTGAGTCAATGGACTTGAAGTATCTTAATTCCATTGTAAGGAATGCATTATACTAAACATAGTGTCACGTAAGTTCTATAGTTTCCCTCATTTTTAATCCTTCTGATTTTATTTGGCTTCCAATGTAAGTTGTCCCTACAGAAAGAGGCTCTCTCATTTCAGGAGAGTACGGGACTAGTAATATAGATTAGTGCCCCTGGCTCAAAACTGTTCTACTCAAAGAGAAGACTAGATATAGGGAACCTGAAAGTTCATAATCTAATGTTAAGGGCAACACATTATTTTTAGCAAAGTGAACTAAATCATTCATTTAACAAAGGTTATATGTCAGGCCTAAAAAAAGGAATGGCATGTTGTTACCATCAAAAGGTTGTGTGAAGATGTAGAGGCCGCATCTTTCTCAAATATTAGAAGAGCTTTCTGCATCAAGTAAATTGCTTTGGATAGCTTATTCTTCCTTATTTTATTCATTACATTCAATTCTGAAACAGAAAACAAACATTTTATCAAAAGGGAAACACGAAAACTATCTTTAAAAGTTTTCAGAAACGTTTAAACAGTTTCTGAAACTGTTTTAAAACAGTTTATCCCAATTTTAATTACCTGTAAAACAGTCAATGCTTCTAGGTTGTTTTAGCTTTTCTGGACCTTTGGTAGATATGTGTTTGCTAATAGTTGGAGTCTGCAAAACTGAAGAAGGAAAAGGAGAGTGCCATTACAATTAGATTTGTGTCCAAGAAAGGAAATATTTTCTAAACATTAAAGGGTAACTATCTATTTGTAAAATTATTGCTTCCTCTCATATGTCATCTTTTTTTCATTAATAGATAAAAATTCAAACAAATCTATAATGACAAACTCTCTTCTATTTGCCACAGTATGCCTGAGGACGTGAAAAATATTTAAGTTATAGATGGAGAGGGAAGATGGCAGAAGAGTAGGGGACGCTCAATTCGTCTGGTCCCTTGACCTTGAATTCAGCTAAATATCTATCAAATCATTCTGAACACCTGTGAATTCAACCCGAGTGCTAAGGAAAGTATCGCTGCAATTCTACAAATGGAGAAGTGGCCACTTTTTGCAAGCTAGGAGGTGTGGAGAAGTGAATCTGAGGGGATATATCAGAAGATAAACCACAGTGGGAGGGAACCTCTATAAGCTGGCTGCCGAAAAGTGATATAACAATGGAATGCAAAATCAGAACTTCTAGAAGTCTGCTCCTGTGAGGAACGTCCCTGCCTGAAAGGTGCGCAGGTGGTGAAGTGGGGCAGAATTGTAAGTGGGACAGTTGGTCTCAGGATTCCCAGGGTCACAGAAAGAACAAGGGTGCCAGAGTGTGGCAGAGGTCCCAGGCATTGGATCAAGGAAGCCGACTACAATTAGTGAGCCCTGGAGTGGGCTCTCAGCTAGCTGTTGCAATAAACTGTGAATCGTGGCAAGATCAGGGACCGCCTGTCCAAGCAGGGGCCCAGCAAGAGGAGTGGCCCTCCTCCCTCCCTGGGAGGAGCGGCACGGGTGCACACAGGATTGGGCAACCGCTCCCAGAGCAGGGGCCCAGTGAACAGCAGAGACCTGGTGAGATTTTCCCCCCTCTTTCCCTGGGGAGGATTGGTACAGAGACCTACCAGGCCAAAAAGGGCTGGCATGATATACTCAGGGTACTAAAGGAGAAAAACATGCAGCCATGAACACTTTATCCAGCAAGGCTCTCATTCAGAATGGAAGAAAAGAGAAAAAGCTTCCAGGGCAAACAAACTAAAAGAATTTGTGATCACTAAACAAGCCCTACAAGAAATATTAAAGGGGTGGGGCGCCTGGGTGGCTCAGTCATTAAGCGTCTGCCTTCAACTCAGGTCGTGGTCCCAGGGTCCTGGGATCGAGCCCCGCATCGGGCTCCCTGCTCCGCGGGAAGCCTGCTTCTCCCTCTCCCACTCCCCCTGCTTGTGTTCCCTCTCTCGCTGTGTCTTTCTCTGTCAAATAAATTAAAAAATCTTTAAAAAAAAAAATATTAAAGGGGATCCTGTAAGGGAAGAGAGAGCCCAAGAGTAACATAGACCAGAAAGGAACAGAGACAATATACAGAAACAGTGACTTTAAAGATAATACAATGGCACTATATTCATATATTTCAACAGTTACTCTGAATGTAAATGTGCTAAATGCTCCAATCAAAAGACACAGGGTATCAGATTGGATAAAAAAGCAAGACCCATCCATATGCTGTCAACAAGAGACTCATTTTAGACCCAAAGACACCTCCAGATTGAAAGTGAGGGGGTAGAGAACCATTTATCATGCTAATGGACATCAAAAGAAAGCTGTGGTAGCAATCCTTATATCATACAAATTAGATTTTAAACCAAAGACTATAGTAAGGGATGAAGAGGGACACTATATCATACTTAAAGGGTCTATCCAACAAGATCTAACAATTATAGGGGCCCCTGGTGGCTCTGTCGTTAAGCGTCTGCCTTCGGCTCAGGTCATGATCCCAGGTCCTGGGATCAAGCCCTGCATCGGGCTCCCTGCTCAGTGGGGAGCCTGCTTCTTCCTCTCCCACTCCCCCTGCTTGTGTTCCCTCTCTCGCTGTGTCTCTCTCTGTCAAATAAATGAATAAAATCTTTAAAAAAAAAAATCTAACAATTATAAATATTTATGCTCCTAACTTGGGAGCAGCCAATTATATCAACCAATTAATAATACAATTAAAGAAATTCATTGATAATAATACAATAATAGTAGGGGACTTTAACACCCCACTCACAGCAATGGACAGATCATCAAAGAGAAGATCAACAAGGAAACAAGGGCTTTGAATGACACACTGGATCAGATGGATTTCACAGATATAGAGCATTTCATCCTAAAGCAACAGAATACACATTCTTCTCGAGTGCACATGGAACATTCTCCAGAACAGATCACATACTGGGTCACAAATCAGGTCTTAACCAGTATCAAAAGACTGAAATTATTCCCTGCATATTTTCAGACCACAATGTTTTGAAACTTGAACTGACTCACAAGAGGAAATTTGGAAGGAACTCAAATACTTGGAGATTAAAGAGAATCCTAAAGAATGAATGGGTCCACCAGGGAATTAAAGAAGAATTTTAAAAATTCATGGAAACAAATAAAAATGAAAACACAACTGTTCAGAACTTTTGGGATGCAGCAAAGGCGGTCCTAAGAGGGAAGTACATAGCAATACAAGCCTTTCTCAAGAAACTAGAAAAGTCTCAAATACACAAGCGAACCTTACACTTAAAGGTGCTGGAAAAAGAACAGCACACAGAACCTAAACCAAGCAGCAGAAGGGAAATAATAAAGATTAGAGCAGAAATGAATGGAATAGGGATGACTGGGTGGCTCAGTCGGTTAAGTGTCTGCCTTCAGCTCAGGTCATGATCCCAGGGTCCTAGGACAGAGTCCCACATCGGCCTCCTTGCTCAGTGGGGAGCCTGCTTCTCCCTCTGCCTGCCACTCCCCCTGCTTGTCCTCTCTCTCTCTGTCAAATAAATAAATAAAATCTTGGGGGAAAAAAAGAAATGAATGAAATAGAAACCAAAAGATAGTAGAACAGACCAACAAAACTAGAAGCTGGTTCTTTAAAGAATTAATAAGACTGATAAACCCCTGGCCAGACTTATCAAAAAGAAAAGAGAAAGGATCTAAATAAATAAAATCATAAATGAAAGAGGAGAGCTCATGACCAACACCAAGAAAACGCAAACAATTTTAAGATCATACTATGAGCAACATGCCAACAAATTAGGCAATCTGGAAGAAATGGATGCATTCCTAGAACCCTATAAACTACCAAAACTGAAACAGGAAAAATAGAAAACCTAAACAAACCTATAACCAATAAGGAAATTGAAGCAGTAATCAAAATCTTCCATCAAACAAGAGTCCAGGGCCAGATGGCTTCCCAAGGGAATTCTACCAAACATTTAAAAAAGAACTAATACCTATTCTTCTGAAGTTGTTTCAAAAAATAGAAATGGAAGGAAAACTTCCAAACTCATTCTATGAGGCCAGCATTACTTTGATCTCAAAACCAAAGACCCAACCAAAAAGAGAATTACAGACCAATATCCTTGATGAACATGGATGCCAAAATTCTCACCAAGATACTAGCTAATAGGATCTAACAGTACATTAAAAGGATTATTCACCACGACCAAGTGGGATTTACTCCTGGGCTGCAAGGGTGGTTCAATATCCGCAAAGCAATTAATGTGATACAATACATTAATAAAAGAAAGAACAAGAACCATATGATCCTCTCAATAGATGCAGAAAAAGCATTTGACAAAGTACAGCATCCTTTCTTGATTAAAACTCTTCACAGTGTAGGGATAGAGGGTACATACCTCAATATCATAAAAGCCAGCTATGAAAAACCCACAGCAAATACCATACTCAATGGGGAAAAACTGAGAGCTTTCCCCCTAAGGTCAGGAACACGGCAGGGATGTCCACTATCACCACTGCTATTCAACATAGTATTAGAAGTCCTAGCCTCAGCAATCAGACAACAAAAAGAAATAAAAGGCATCCAAATCGGCAAAGAAGTCAAACTCTCACTTTTTGCAGATGATATAATACTTTATGTGGAAAACTCAAAAGAGTCCACCCCAAAACTGCTAGAACTCATACAGGAATTCAGTAAAGTGGCAGGATATAAAATCAATGCACAGAAATCAGTGGCATTTCTATACACCAACAACAAGACAGAAGAAAAAGAAATTAAGGAGTCGATCCCATTTACAATTGCACCCAAAACCATAATATACCTAGGAATAAATCGAACCAAAGCAGCAAAGGATCTGTACCCAGAAAACTACAGAATACTCATGAAAGAAATTGAGGAAGGGCGCCTGGGTGGCTCAGTCATTAAGCGTCTGCCTTCGGCTCAGGTCATGATCCCAGGGTCCTGGGATCGAGCCCCACATCGGGCTCCCTGCTCCGCAGGAAGCCTGCTTCTCCCTCTCCCATTCCCCTTGCTTGTATTCCCTCTCTCGCTGTGTCTCTCTCTGTCAAATAAATAAATAAAATCTTTAATAAAAAAAAAGAAATTGAGGAAGACACAAATGGAAAAACCTTCCATGCTCATGGATTGGAAGAACAAATATTGTGAAAATGTCTATGCTACCTAGAGCAATCTACACTTTTGATGCAATCCTTATCAAAATACCATCAATGTTTTTCAAAGAAATGGAACTAATAATCCTAAAATTTGTATGGAACTAGAAAAGACCCCGAACAGCCAGAGGAACGTTGAAAAAGAAAAGCAAAGCCGGTGGCATCATAATTCCGGACTTCAAGCTCTATTACAAAGCTGTCATCATCAAGACAGTATGGTACTGGCACAAAAACAGACACATAGATCAATGGAACAGAATAGAGAGCCCAGAAATGGACCCTCAACTTTATGGTCAACTAATCTTCGACAAAGCAGGAAAGAATGTCCAATGGAAAAAAGTCTCTTCAACAAATGGTGTTGGGAGAATTGGACAGCCACATGCAGAAGAATGAAACTGGACCATTTCCTTACACCACACACAAAAATAGACTCAAAATGGTTGAAAGACCTAAATGTGAGACAGGAGTCCATCAAAATCCTAGAGGAGAACACAGGCAGCAACCTCTTCGACCTCAGCCACAGCAATTTCTTCCTAGAAACATTGCCAAAGGCAAGGGAAGCAAGGGCAAAAATGAACTACTGGGACTTCATTAAGATAAAAAGCTTTTGCACAGCAAAAGAAACAGTCAACAAAACCAAGAGACAACTGACAGAATGGGAGAAGATATTTGCAAATGACACCTCAGATAAAGGCCTAGTATCCAAAATCTATAAAGAACTTATCAAACTCAAAACCCAAAGAACAAATGATCCAATCAAGAAATGGGCAGAAGACATGAACAGACATTTCTGCAAAGAGGACATCCAAATGGCCAACAGACACATGAAAAAGTGCTCAACATCGCTCAGCATCAGGGAAATCCAAATCAAAACCTCAATGAGATACCACCAGTCAGAATGGCTAAAATTAACAAGTCAGGAAACAACAGATGTTGGCGAGGATGCAGAGAAAGGGGAACCCTCCTACAGTGTTGGTGGGAATGCAAGCTGGTGCAGCCACTCTGGAAAACAGTATGGCGGTTCCTCAAAAAGTTGAAAATAGAGCTACCCTATGACCCAGCAATTGCACTACTGGGTATTTACCCCAAAGATACAAAGGTAGTGATCCAAAGGGGCACATGCACCCCAATGTTTATAGCAGCAATGTCCACAATAGTCAAACTATGGAAAGAGCCTAGATGTCCATCAACAGATGAATGGATAAAGAAGATGTGGTATATATATACAATGGAATAGTATGCAGCCATCAAAAGGAATGAAATCTTGCCATTTGCAATGCCATGGATGGAACTAGAGAATATTATGCTAAGTGAAATAAGTCAATCAGAGAAAGACAAGTATCATATGATCTCACTGATATGAGGAATTTGAGAAACAAGACAGAGGATCATAGGGGAAGGGAGGGAAAAATAAACAAGATGAAACCAGAGAGGGAGACAAACAAGGTACCATTTCACATCTGTTAGAATAGCTATCATCAAAAAGACAAGAGATAACAAATGTTGACGAGGATGTGGAACAAAGGAAACCCTTGCACACTGTTGGTGGGAATGGAAATTGGTTCAGTCACTGTGGAAAACACTATGGAAGTTCATCAAACAATTAAAAACAGGGGTGCCTGGGTGGCTCAGTCAGTTAAGCGTCTGACTCTTGATTTTGGCTCAGGTCATGATCTCAGGGTCCTGAGATCAAGAGCCGAGTCTGACTCCGCGCTCAGTGGGGAATCTGCCTGAGATTCCCTCCCTGTGCCCCTCTTCACCCCCTGCTCTCTCTCTTTCTCTCTCTCTCCCCCTCCCTCCCTAAAAATGAATAAATAAATCTTTTTTAAAAAATTAAAAACAGAACTACTATACAATCCAGCAATCCTTTCTGGGTGTATCTCCAAAGGAAATGAAAATAAGGTCTCAAAGAGATATCTGCACTCCCATGTTCACTGCAGCATTATTCACAATAGCCAAGATATGTAAACAGTATCTATCAATGAATGAATGTATAAAGAATATGTGGTGTGTGTGTGTGTATGTGAGTGTGTGTATATATATCATGGAATATTATTCAGCCATGAGAAAGAAGGAAATCCTGGCATTTGCAATAACATGGATGGACCTTGAAGGCATGATACTAAATGAAATAAGTCAGACAAATGCTGTATGATATCACTTACATGTAGAATCTAAGAAAGCTGAATTCATAGAAACAGAGAGTAGAGTGGTGGTTACCAGGGGCTAGAGGGGAAGTGGAAGGAAATGGACATATGTCGGTCAAAAGGTATATACAGTTCTAGGGATCTCATGTACATCATGGTGATTATAATTAATAATACTGTAGTATACACTTGAAAGTTGCTAAGTGAGTAAATCTTAAGTGCTCGTCCCACAAAAAAGAAGTGGCAATTATGTGACATGATAGAAGTGTTAGCTAACGTTATAATGGTAATAATTTTGCAATATATTAGTGTATAAAATCAACACATTTGTACACCTTATGCTTACATAATGTTATCTGTCAATTATGTCTCAATAACCTGGGGAAAAAAGTTTGCACTCAAAAATTAATTAATTACCTAGCATTTGATTAAATCTATTTAGTTGTATATATGATGTGACATCTGAATATTTTTTTTTTAGGTTTTTATTTAAATTCCAGTTAGTTAACATACAGTGTATTATTAGTTTCAGGTGTACAATTTAGTGATTCAACACTTATATACAACACCAGGTGCTCATCACAACACGTGTACTCCTTCATCTGGATCACCTATTTAACCCATTCCTATCCACCTCCCCTCTAGTAACTATCTGTTTGTTCTCTACAGTTAAGAGCCTGTTTCTTGGTTTGCTGCTCTCTTTTTTTCCCCTATGATGGTTTGTTTTGTTTCTTAAATTCCACACATGAATGAAATCATACGGTATTTGTCTTTCTCTGACTGACTTACTTAGCTTAGTATAAGACTCTATCTCTAGCTCCATTCATGTCATTGCAAATGGCAAGATTTCATTCTTTTTTATGGCTGAGTAATATTCCATTATATACATATACCACATCTTCTTTATCCATTCATCAGTTGATGGACATTTGGGCCCTTTCCATAATTTGGCTACTTTTGTTAATGCTGCTATAAACATCAGGGTGCATGTATCCCTTCAAATTAGAATGCTTTAGACAGAAATCAGAGGTTGTATTAGGCTAGAACACTTAGTACTATTCTATAATTAGTCAGTAATTTATAATGGAGTAGTTGTTGAATGAATACTGGCTATATAATCCTGCCAAGAGTAACTTGGCTTTATCAAAATTTAACCTTAATTTTTATACATAATGACGTTAAATCTTATTTTGAAACGAGTAAATGTATTATCTGTATGCACACTAGTATTACTATTGACATCTTTTTAAAAAATGTTTTGAAGTCTTTATCTAATAATGAGGCCAAAAAAACTTAGATCCAAGTCATGTGTGCTCTGACATTATGTCAGAGCTGTCTTTCTAAGTTTTTCAATAGCTTCAAGGATAAATATAAACCCCTTAGCTATTCAAGATTTAACTGTGATCTACATTGCTAGGCTTATCTGTGTCGTACTCTCATGTGTGCTCTTTATTCTAGCCATAAGAGAATTCCAGCAGTTCCTAAACTGCACCATGCAATTGTTGCTTTCCAGTTTGCTAAAGACTAGTTTCTCTATCCAAATGACTGTTTCCTTTTCATTCTTCATAAAGATATTTTCTAGCCTTCTGGTCAACTATCACTTCTCCCAGGAAGCCATCCCTAACTCTTGTTTATTATAGATACTCCTCTTCTGTGTGCCTACAACAGAAACTGAGCCCACTTCTGTTACATTTATTAATCTCAACTGTTACAATTGGCTTACTTACTAGAAGCTCAAAATTAGAGGTTTTATCTTATTTATACTAAACATAATATGGTTCCTGGATCTTAATAGGTACTCAATAATTATATTTGCTTGATTGAATTAACAAAATATCAGTAATTGACTATAACTCAAACAAAATTAATTTTTTAGAAGTATACTAATTGATTTGCTATGCAGGATATAAAGCAATAATGAAAGGTATCTATTGATATTAAGCAGGGAAAAGAAAAGAATGAAATTTATCTGGAAAACACTCCAACAAGAACATAATTTACAAATTATTTACTATTCTTGAACTTATCTTAAAAATGATGCAAAACAAATTATTTGCTTTGATCACTACTACCTTGCAATTGGTCAAGAAGCACAACAGCTATCCGGTGCTGGGCTTGAATTAGTTCAAGATGCAAATCCATCATGAAAGAATTTGGTGTGACTGGTTTGCACATGTCTCCATCTATATCCTGGGTGTACTTTGGTAGGATTGAAGCAAAAATAAAAAAGAAATACAGTTATCAAAACATACTAAAAATAGCTCTATCCTATTACCACTCAAGTTAGCATTTTACTCTACGCCATTAAATTCTGCTCATTTCTCAACTCTTTGCAATCTGGTTCACATGCTAATAAACCTGCTTTTCAAGTTCACCAGTGGCCTCTTCAGTAACAAATTTAAAGACTCCTCACTCTCCTTCATTTCTTCTGGGAAGAGGGGAATAGATTTCTGGCCTATGAGAATGAGGCCACCACAAATCACACTTTACTCACCTACTTGCAAAGCCAGTCCTCTTCCTAGCTAAGTAACAAACACTTCAATTTCATGTAAGAGTTTCCCATTTACCTTGGCATAGCAATGGTCAATCACTGATGATCCATTTGGCAAAGTAGTTAACATGCAATTCAAGTTTATTCCATCAATTGCTTTGTCAAGAAGTTCATAAGCCAAAAATAACTGTTCCACGGGTTTCTTCTAAAGTAATTTTATAAACAAAACAGAAAAATAACATGTAAGGAAAAATCACATACAACATTTTCAAACTTCTTTCAATAATAACTCAAACCTAGTAATAAATTGAAATAATCTATCCAATATCTACAATGTTATATTTTTTACTCAGTGTATCTGTCTTTGATTAAATGTGGAGTACTACTGATAAAAGTGAAATAATAAATACAATTCATCATTTTTCTAAATATAAATTAAGCTTTTCGTAAATATGTATATATCTTCCTTTTATGGTTTTCAAAATTCTGACTGTACCAAATGTATAGGTAAATTTTTAAAATACAACCCTCATAATTTGTCATTTTCACACACTTCATTTTGAAAGTTAATTTTTTTTTTTTAAATCTCAGAGCTGGAAATTTAGATGTAGAGGCCATCAAATCCAATGGCGTATATCATGATTTTCAAAAACTAAATACCTTTACATTCTAATTATTCTGATAGACAAATACAGAGAATAATATAACAAGCATCCAGTTTTGTTCAAACTTTCAAATTTCACGTATTTCTCCAGAAAATTTTTTGGAAATAAAGCAAACACATACATGCAGATAACTGAAATCCTCTATAGAACTGTCCACATGACAATCCTTTTCTCTGCTCCTAAAGGAAGCCACTGTGCTTTGGTTTTTACCATTCTTTGGCGTGTTTTTAAACTTTTACCACATGTGTATGTATCTATTAACAATATGCAATATTGCTTGCCTACTTTTTAATTCTGTCAGAAAATTTTGCAGTTCACTTTATAGGCTCAAACATATGTTGTTGCAATTTTTTCATGCTGGTGTATGTAACTCAATGTGTCAGAGTTTGGTTAGGAACACAGAACAACTGGAGATACTCTCAAGCAGAAAGAGATTGGATACACAGAATTAGAGGTGTCTATCACTGTTGGAACGACTGGGGGAACAAAGGCCAAGGAAGCTGCCAGTGACAATTTGGCTGCATGCACAAGCCTCTGTGAATCTAAGAATCAAGGAGCAGCTGACAACAGCTGCGAGTGTCTGTCACACCATGTGCGCCAAGTGAATTGCAAGAGCTTGCTCAGCACCTCTGGTAAATAAACTTCTTCCATCTGCCACTGCCAAGTAAGAACTCTGTCTTCCCTTCATTATACATTCCTGCAAATGCTCCTCATTGGAAGACTAACCTAGAAGCACGTAGAAATGAGATGCTGGGAATTGCAGTTCCAGCTTTTCCCCTGTGACACAAAGGTGACTAAAGAAGGGAAGGGCAAGGATGCCAAGCTGACTCTAGTTCAAGCCCACACTAATTCATTCATCCTTACGGCCACAGTGAAATAGTGTGATGCTGAGGAACATGTCACAATATACTTATCCACTCTTCTACCGATGGGCATTTAGATTGCTATTACTAAAAATGTGTAATGCATTGTACTAGTCTGTGGATTGAGACAAGGCTGGTATTTGCTTTACAGTCCTTATGCCTTTTTTATCTGCTTTCTTTCTCAGCTGACTAAGATCTCTAGGACATGTTGAACAGAAGAATGACAGATATCCTATGTCATTACCTCAGAATAAAGGGATTGCTTTTAATCTTTTACTATAGGTATAACATTCATTACAGGTCTTTGAATGATACCCTTTATGGGAAAAAAAGTTCTCTATTCCTGACTTAAGAGTTATTTTTTAAAGATGGCTGTTGAATTTTGTCAAATGTTGTTGTTCCATCTTTTTTATCTAGTGAGGTAGTCGTATTTCTTCCTTTCGTCTGCTAATGCGGTGTACTGCATTATATTTTCTAATGTTAAATCATCCTTGCTTTCCTGGAATATAAACAATTTGATTACACACATCCATTCAAAGATATATAGATATATATCTCCATTCAAGAATCACAGGCCCAGGGAGGTTCTCATGCAACTCAAGTAATGTAAATTCAAAAAACAGACCTACTCACGTGAAAGCAGGCCCAGGATTATAAATCATTAGGAAGAAAGACTCTCTCCCACCCACCCACCTCCAGTACCCATGTGGAGATACCTCCCCATACAAACAGGCAGATTGGTTTTCTTCTGGTCTCCCTTCTCTAGAATGTGGTCTTTTGGAGGTCATAATTTTAATGTGTAAGTCTCAGTTCCAAACCCCCATCTTTCATGTGCCCACACTTCATATCTTGTCACTGAATGGCTGTTAATCTGACCTTTTTTATAACTGAGCCCATCAACCAACTGCAGCATCTACTCATAAAATGACCATTCTAGTTTTCAGTTCCCCTTTCTTGGCCCCTGGAATTTATCTTACTTTCTTGTGAGCACCACAATGTGCTTGAGGATATTTTTTCAATTCTGCCCAAAATTTCTAGATGCTTTGTAGAACAGGGTTTTCAGCTCACCCAGTTTGCCCTTTTCCCAGAAACAGAAGTCTCTAAGGATGCCTTTTTAACACCAAAAAATTTCAAAGACCCTCCTCCACACACACCTACATTCTCTCATCAACATCATCACCATCAGTATCACTTTTGTTATTTTTGTCATTATTTTAGCTAACATTTAATTAAACTATGTTCCAGATACTGGACTAAATGCTTTACAGGGACTAATTTTTTAATTGCCATTATCCTATGAGGTAGATACCTACTAATTATTGTAATTTTATAATACATTTATTGAGAGAACTAGCTGCTATGTATTCAGTAAAACTTTTAAATAAGCTTTGAATGTGATTACAATAAACACCTCATTTTTTTTTAAATAGTTGCATGTATATATGCAAGATGTATAATTTATCCCACCTACAATCTCTGATAGGTGAGCATAAAGATTTTGGATTCTCCTTACAATAAATTCTCACTTCTCTCCACTTCACTCCCCTCCAGATGGGTCTGAGACCCTAAGTTAAGATTCAGTGCTCTACATAAAACATAAGAGAAAAACTGAGTAGCTACCATGTGCCAGGCAGGTACTGGTTTCTGCAACATTACCAATACCTCATTTACACTAAGTAACTTAAATAATACCAGTAGAATTGGTTCTATTGTTATAATTTTACAGATGAGGACACTTACATTCAAACAGATGAAATAATTTGCTCAAGATCACACTGTCAATTTAAGAGTCAAGATTCAACTCTGGGAAAGGGGAACCCTCCTACACTGTTGGTGGGAATGCAAGCTGGTGCAACCACTCTGGAAAACAGTATGGAGGTTCCTCAAAAAGTTGAAAATAGAGCTACCCTACAACCCAGCAATTGCACTACTGGGTATTTACCCCAAAGATACAAATGGAGTGATCTGAAGGGGTACATGCACCCCCATGTTTATAGCAGCAATGTCCACAATAGCCAAACTATGGAAAGAGCCAAGATGTCCATTAACAGATGAATGGATAAAGAAGATGTGGTATATATATACTATGGAATATTATGCAGCCATCAAAATAAAAAAAAACCATGGATGGAACTAGAGGGTATTATGCTAAGCAAAATAAGTCAATCAGAGAAAGACATGTATCATATGATCTCACTGATATGAGGAATTCTTAATTTCAGGAAACAAACTGAGGGTTGCTGGAGTGGTGGGGGGTGAGAGGGATGGGGTGGCTGGGTGATAGACATTGGGGAGGGTATGTGCTATTGTGAGCACTGTGAATTGTGTAAGACTGATGAATCACAGACCTGCACCTCTGAAACAAATAATACATTGTATGTCAAAAAAAAGAAGAAGAAGATAGTAGGAAGGGAAAAATGAAGGGGGGGAAATCGGAGGGGGGAGACGAACCATGAGAGACTATGGACTCTGAGAAACAAACTGAGGGTTCTAGGGGGAGGGGAGTGGGGGGATGGGTTAGCCTGGTGATGGGTATTAAAGAGGGCACGTGTTGAATGGAGCACTGGGTGTTATACGCAAACAATGAATCATGGAACACTACATCAAAAACTAATGATGTATGGTGATTAACATAACATAATAAAATTAAATTAAAAAAGAAAGATTCAACTCTGGGTCTTCCAACACCATCTGGTGAATCCTTAGGTCACACCAACGAACCACCTGTACTACATCTACCATATGCCACAGTACTGCTGGGCAGGTTGTCTATCGCACAATTTTAGGGGGTGCCATTCATGCTGTTATCATCACAGACCTGTATTTATTTCGGCAATTTCCCAGCATATGGTAATAAATCATATCAAGGAAAGGGCACATTTTCCTAATTTAAATAAGAGTATCAATAGTTCATAAACGGTCTTCAGCTTCATTTGGGAAAACTGCCACCTTCTATGAAACTCATTTTATTTAGTGGCTTTAATTGCCAGAAATTTTCCACCTGAAGCTAAAATCTAGCACTTTGTAACTTCTATTACTATTCTTATTCCTGCCCTATGAAGCCTCAGAGAATAAGTGCTGGCTCACTAAGCCAGTGATTCTGAAATTCTAGTTTCCTTAAGAATCTATCTGGGGAGGGTGCCTGGGTGGCTCAGTCAGTTAAGCGTCTGCCTTGGGCTCAGATCATGATCCTGGGGTCTTGGGATCAAGCCCCACACAGGGAACCTGCTTCTCCCTCTCCCTCTGCCACTCCCCCTGCTTGTTCTCACTCTCTCTCAAATAAATAAATAAATAATCTTAAAAAAAAAAAAAGAAACGGGGCGCCTGGGTGGCTCAGTTGGTTAAGCAACTGCCTTCGGCTCAGGTCATGATCCTGGAGTCCCTGGATCGAGTCCCACATCGGGCTCCCTGCTCGGCAGGGAGTCTGCTTCTCCCTCTGACCCTCCCCCCCTCATGTGCTCTCTCTCTCATTCTCTCTCTCTCAAATAAATAAATAAAATCTTAAAAAAAAAAAAAAAAAAAAGAATCTACCTGGGGGAATTTTAAGAGGAAAATACCTGTAATTATAAACTTTTAACACACCACAACTGAAATTATGATTCCATATGCCTTAAGTGAGAAATAGGAAGATGTATATTTAGCAAGCACTATAAGTGATCCCTGGAAAAACCTTGGCAGACAGCTATTATGCCTCCTCAATCTCTTGTGAATTTCAAACATACTGTCCCCAATTTAAGATTTCTCAACTCTAGCTCTCTCAAGACACAATGCTACATAAAGAACTCAAAATTGCATTCCCTAAAACCTATCATTAGAAGAAAGTAAATTCAGAATGATCCCCCAGTCCTCCAGTATATTCATGATATTTGATTGGTACCCAGTTACAGGACTTGCATATTTTATGTATTAGAAAAGTATCTTTTATACAAGTATCCTGAAGACACTTTTTTTTTTTAAATCAAACATAGCATAGTGACTAAATACCTGGACGTTGAAGGCAATACACCTAAGTTCAAATCTACTTACTATGCAAATCTTGAGCAAGTTAGATGTGTAGCAAAAATCATCACTATGACTACCACAAATCAACTGGAGTGAATCTCACAAACACAATACTGAGATAAAAAGCAAGCTGCAGTCACACTATGACTATATATATATAAATTTAAAAGCAATACTCTCTACTTTCTGGGAAAAACACACATATATAATAAAAGTATGCCTGGAATTTATAGTCATTATATTTAGAATACTAGTTCTGCTAGGCAGGAAGAAAGGTGATATGATCAAAGGAGTTAGTGGAGGAGTTTCAACTGTACTAATAATGTATTGTTTCTTAAGGGGAAATGGGTCTACCTTATAATATTCTTTATAATTTTATGACATATATTTCAAATTGATTTTTCAGAGAAAATATAGCAATTATGAGTATTAACATTTAGCAACAGGAAAAGTGCTGATGAAATAATGTTAGGAAAAAAACATCAGAATGCTACTATGCTAAAAAATATAAAAAAGACTAGAAGAGAATATAAAAAAAATAATATTTCAGTCTATATAGGGAAATTGCAGATTTTTCCCTTTTTATACCTCAAAATATCCTCTGTTAATACAACTTTTGTAATTTAAAATTACAATTTTTGAATTAATCAAACAAAAATATAGATCACTGGCTTCCTCTCTAGAAAAGTATTTTTCAACAGTAGTCCATGAACACTAGTGTCCTAAGTAGTTATTCCATAGGGCGTAAAATGGGTTTTATTTTCATGTAATCTTCTTGGAAAACCACAATGCTCATAAGCAAATGAAGGCCTCTGAGAAGTCTTATAGTAAAGAACCTGTTGTGTTTCATCCAAAGTCACCCAAAGTTACTTGACTCTGGCATCCTTTTCTGAAGCATAGTATTAGCATCACATAGGACAGACTTGACAAAATGCTATTCTAGTTCTTGTCTATAAATAAAAGAGTGTTTATAACATATATGACATGGTTCCCTAGACTCCCATTCAGATCTATAGAACAACACAATCTTTGATGGACAGAAATAATTCAAATATTGTAAGAAAAACATAATCAAGAAGAGGAATAGCTATTTATCTCCCTCACCCCCTTTCTTCTCTTAAGGTAACAATCACTAAGAACTTGCCCCAGTGCCAGGGACTGTTCTAAGTATCTTTTCAACAAGTAAAACTCATTGAATCTGCCAGAGGAATATGCTGAGCAGGACCTCTCTGCTCCATGAGTCTATGAATCACAACACATTCAAAATACCAGTGGTAATGTAACTACAAATCCTTTTAAGATAATTTACTAGGTTATTTTTAAAGCTGATTGGGATTTTTTTTCTACAGTAAAAGCAAAAGGTAGAAAATGTCCCCTGTAGTTTTCAATGTATGTAAACACTATAAATTCTCAAATATTAAATATTCAAAATTATTTCTATAATTAACCATTACATATTTACAAATTTAATATTATCTGAAAATCTAAATTCATGTTTTTAATTGTATTTTCTAAAATATTTTTGCAATACCTTTAGTATTGGAAGAATTTCTACGTTCCCTCTCGAAATACCAAAGGATTCACCAGTTCCTTTTCTTAAAGGTATCTCTGTGGGGGGGGGGGGGGGAGGAAAAGAAGGAAGGAAGTAACAGAAGAGGAAGGAAGGGAAGAGGAGGAGGAAGAGGAGGAAGTGAAAGGGGTAAAAGTAGGAAGAAGAGGAGTGAGAAGGAGAGAAGAAACAAAGGGAAAGAAGGAAGGACCAGAGGAAAGAAGAGGAGGAAGGAAAAAAATGTAAACATAGCAGTGAATCATAATCCTAAAAAATGTTATGCCAAATTGGTTACCTTTTTGATTACTCATGATTTTAGAAATGATTCAACACTTAGAAGGTGACTAAATACAAAATTATTTCTTCCATATAATTACATTTTGTCTTTATATAAGTTAATTTAAAAGTATCTTGCAGTACAACAAACAAAATTAAAAATCTTGATTATTAACAAGGTAATATAATGGTAAAGAGACTGGTCTTTCTATATAGTCTATAAAGTCCATTGAAAAGCATTCACAAAACAGTGTAAAAGCCTTATGAATTTGCACAAATATCAGACAAGGCTGGTTTGAGTGAAATAAAAATAAATCATAAATATATGGCAATTCTAGTTTCCTATTTTAAAATGTACTCAATAATTTAAACTAAATAATCCATTACTTAATCAACAGTCCAATAAACATTTTGAATCAGATTGTCATAATTAATATACAAGAATGACTTGTACTTTGTGTTTTATGTGCCAATAAGATTATTGGATTAGTTATCCAATAACTAATGTTGGAAAAGTTATAAGAACTTATATATCTAAACGGGGACAACCCCTCACTACATAAACATAGATTTTCTATTTATAAATGGATCATGCTCCAATATCAATTAGTTCTTTAGAAATGAAACACTTTAGCAAAGAATCAACAAATTGCATTTAATTTATAATTAAACAGAGTATAAAATACACCAAAACAATAGTCTCCCAAAAGTAATAATAAACAAAATAAAATTGAATAAGAAATAGACTTTTAAAAAAAAAGTAATCATTGGGCCTTTTGTTTTCAATAACAGGTAACCTGGAAAAATTCTCCTGACTAGAGACCACTAGAAAAGCTGAGGGGCGCCTGGGTGGCTCAGTTGTTAAGCGTCTGCCTTCGGCTCAGGTCATGATCCCAGGGTCCTGGGATCGAGCCCCGCATCAGGCTCCCTGCTCCATGGGGAGCCTGCTTCTCTCTCTCCCATTCCCCCTGCTTGTGTTCCCTCTCTCACTGTGTCTCTCTCTGTCAAATAAATAAAATCTTTAAAAAAAAAAAAAAGCTGAAAAAACTTTATTTCTTCATCTGTAAGCAAAGAAGATCATGAAAATATAAATATAGAGCTAGGATCTTGAGAAAAGAGTATCACCTGGATCTTGGGAAGAGAGCCCAGGGAATAAAGAATGGCATTAGAGCTACCTCCCCAACTGAGGACTTTTGTCAATTCTGAAATGGAAAGCTGAGAAGCTGAGTAATGCTTCTGACAGCCCTGAGAACTAAAGCAACAGAGATTAGGATCCAGGGACACTAAGAGTAAGAAGCCAGAAGAGGCTGCATCCCAGGACTTAGGGTAAATGGAAAGTAAGTCAACAGGAGAGCATCTCAGCTTCCAATTATCTTAATCTCTCAAAGTGGACTAATGGGATCCTAGAGTAATAATGTCTTCATGCATCTAGTAAAAGCAAGCATAATCTTCTCTGGAAGAACATTAACCTCATCTAAGGCTTCAAGTTATTTCTATAATATATTTGGCAAGTATAATGTCTACCACACAATCAAAAATAGCCAGAGTAACCAAATAGCTGATGAAGTAATTCTTCACTTAAGAATTCAATATAGTTAAGTGCAGGAGGAATGATAGAAGTTTGAAGCCCTTTCCAGCTTCTCACTCCCACTCCTCCAGTAGCCTTCAATCAATGACAGATAAAAGTTGTATAAATATCTCAACCTCCCAGCTCTCTGGGGCAGGTTCTATACAGTCTCCTAGAGGTCTCTCATGGGAAAAAGTCCTAAACCTACAAAAGTAGCCTTCTCCTTAACTTACTGTACTTTGTATTGCCTTCTTTTCATTTTCTGTCTCACTTCTCCACACCACCATCCTGCTTCCCTAGGTAACTACTTCACTCAACAACTTGTCTCAGAATCTACATCTGGGGAAAACAACCTAGGAAAAAGGTCAGGCTGACAATAGCTGAACTCACTGGTAAGTCTTTACAACACAACATGTGGGATAACTAGGCATTATATGCTTCCTGATTCAACACAACAGGGAGTAAACAGCACCACCTATGAAGTATTCTTGCCAAGTGTATAAGATATTGGCAGGAATTGTTTTTGATAAGATATCACTTGAATCTAAACAAGCCTCTAGATCCAACTACCAAGTAGAGAAACAAGTTAATACCACAAAGACACAAAGAGCCAAATCCAGAATGTGGGGAATCCTACAAGATGACAAATCAATGTCTTCAAAAAAATAAATGGCTTGAAAGGGAGAGGAGGAAAGGAACTGTTATAGATTAGAAAGAGAGACTCAAGAAAAATGAAAGAAAGTAAAATGCATGGGCTTATTTGGATCCTGATTGGAACAAGCCAACTTAGGATTTTTTTTTTTAAAGATTTATTTATTTATTTATTTATTTGACAGAGAGAGAGAAACAGCAAGAGAGGGAACACAAGCAGGGGGAGTGGGAGAGGGAGAAGCAGGCTTTCTGCAGAGCAGGAAGCCCGATGCGGGGCTCGATCCCAGGACCCTGGGATCGTGACCTGAGACCAAGGCAGATGCCTAATGACTGAGCCACCCAGGCACCCTGCAACTTAAGAAATTTTTATATAGTCAGGGACATAGGAATTTTCCCCTTATTTTGTAAAGTATAGTAATAATGGCATTATAGTTTTGTAAAACAAAACAAAATCTTTATCTGTTACATAGACAAACCAACACACACACACACACACACACACATTGAGGTATTTACTGGTGAAATGACATTATGTCTGCTTTAAAACACCCCAGAGGAAAAAATGTGTTACAGTAAGAAATGAAATTAAGATTGGCAAAATGTTCATAATATTGGTACTGGATAATAGGTACAGGGTAATTTATTCCATCTCTCTCTATTTGAAATTCTGCATAATAAAAATTTTAAAAAAGGAAAAGGCATTTTAAGACAGGACATTTCAAAAAAAATAGGACTTCAGACCATTGAATGTATTAGAGAGCCAGAGACCTTTAGCCAGTAGTTCTCAAACTTTGATGTGTATCAAAATCACCAGATAAACTAATAAAGACTAGAAAGGCCCAGGCTAGATGAAGTAGGACAGGATCTGGGCCTTTGTATTTTTAACAAGTTCCCAAGTGATACTGATGCCAATCAAAATTTGAGAACCATGGCTCTAAACTTCCATCTGCTAAGCCACACTCAATAACTGAGGACAGCAGAGCCTGATTAATGAATCTCTGGGAAAACAATTACTATGATAATTACTTTACGACAAAGTCCCTCAAATGTCATACACACTACGTAAGAGGGGTGAAATAGGAAAGTAAACACCCACTAACCACACCCCCACCTTACTACCTACATATGGGTTACTTTTTAAAACAGATGGTTCAAGGGTTCAACCACATGCTGAAGAAAGAAGGTCAGAGCATAAGGTTGTCCTTTGAGAGAAGGAAACTTCTGGAAGGAGAAGAATGCTGGCAGAAAGGGACTGGGGCAGAGAGAGTGGGGAGTGGGTAGGAAATGAGAACAAAAAAGAGGAAGATAAGAGGAAAGGGGGAAAAGAAGAGGAGAAATAAAATAAGTGAAGACAACAAATTTTAAAAGGAGGGAATCAGAAGATAAGAGAAAATTAAAAAGGAGATAATATGTAAAACACTGATCCATTCAACAGACATTTATTTAAGTTACCAGTCTGTGTGGGGCAGTGTGGTGGGTACCAAAAATATAATGGCAACCAAAACTTGTTCTCTTCCTTCAAGCAGCATACACTCTATCGGGAAATGGCAGAGGAGGAAAGGGGATAAAAAGGAGGAGTGAAAAGTAAAAAAGAAAGAATGGGGAAGAGGAAGAGAGGTGAAAGTGGTAATGAGGAATGGAGAAGGGGAGTACATGAGTGAGGGGAAGACAAAATACACTTACCTGCCACGGAACCATACAGCATATGACCTCTTTTTAACATTCCCTTGGTTGTTAATAACCTCTGTTATTTCTGTCTCTGGTTATAAATCATCAAGGAAGCATAGTACTGAAATGCCTAGCTTCCATTCACAGTAGTTATTCTGTATTCCAATTTATACTTACACATTCATATGTGTATACGTATATTAGTAACTTCATACTTTTTCATTCATTGTATTACCTAGAGATTTTTTAAATTTTCTTCGTGGGTTTCCTAATAACTCCAATATTTCACTTAATCGCAACGTGACCTCTGCTACCACCACAACATCAATGTCTTCCATTTTATAGCAGTGAATTACTTCATTTATCTGCCACAGAAGATAAACCCACTAAAAAGAGAAAATCAATTAAAATATTACATTGTTGAGTCATATTTTTTTAAACTTAGGACTTCCTTGAAGTCATCATCTTCTAAACATATGGAAATGTTAGACAGGTAAACACCCCCTTATTAGTACATCTTAATTATAAACATCAATGATCCTAATGAATCTGTTTCTATAAACTCATAAAGAAGATTCACCTAAGCTTACAATCTGCATATCTATAGCCATAATGGAAAATTTATCATCTTTTTTTAACGTATTAGTAAAGATGATCAGTATCCTCAAAGTTCTCATTCTCCCCTCACAAAGCAGCTGTTGTGATCACTATCAAAGTCTTACAAAACAGCGAAGGGGAGGCAGGTGTTTCAGGCTCCATGCTAGGTGCCTTCAAAGCTCTCTTTCAAAGCTTAGCACATGAAATTAGCCATCACACTTTGGGAACTAAAATGAGGAAACAACATTACTTTTTCACTTCATTACCTTTTCAGAGTACATGGTAAAAACCAAGCCCATGTACCCTATGTACAACACAGAAGTGCAGAGAATACACTTAGAAAAAGGCTCAGTCAGCACCACATTTAAAGAATGGTAGTTATGCAGGTAGATAAATAGGGAAAATTTAGATTTGAAGTGTGTATCACAACTTAAATTAGCAGTAATAAAAAGCAAGTGAAAGGAAACAAAAAGGAGTACTTTATTAGTACTGATTTTCTGGGTGAATTTTGCATAGTCATTTCTGGGCATATTGATCCGCTGAATTCCTAATTTGCATTTCTGCCATAGGAACATTATCATGTCCACAACGATTTCTTTATCAGGCTGAACATTCTGAAAACAAAAATGGTAAAGTAATGGTAAGAATAAGATACACATATAGACACAGCTATATAGCATTTAACATGTGCCATGGAACATTCTAAGAGCTTTATATACCTACTGCAATGGACTGAATGTTTGTGTCTACCCAAAATTCCTGTGTTGAAATTCTAACTCCCAATGTGATAATATTGGGAGGTGGGGCCTTTAGGAGGTAATTAGACATGAGGGTGAAGGTCTCAAGAGCAAAAATAGTACTCTTATAAGAGGGACTCCAGAGGGGGCGCCCGGGTGGCTCAGTCGTTAAGCGTCTGCCTTCGGCCCAGGTCATGATCCCGGGGTCCTGGGATCGGGCCCCGCATGGGGCTCCCTGCTTGGCGGGAAGCCTGCTTCTCCCTCTCCCCTACTTGTGTTCCCTCTCTCGCTGTGTTTCTGTCAAATAAAATATTTAAAAAAAAAAAAAAAAAAAAAAAAGAGGGACTCCAGAGTCTGTCACTTTCTTTCTGCCGAGCAATGACACAATGCAAAGACAGCCATCTTATGAACCAGGAGGTGGACCCTCACCAGGCACCAAATCTGCTGGTGCCTTGATCTTGGATTTCTCAACCTCCAGAACTGTGAGAAGTAAGTGTTCCATGTTTAAGCCACCCTGTCTATGGTATTTTTGTTATGGTAGCCCATACAGACTAAGATTTATACCAATTCATTTAATCTTCATGACAACTCTATGAAGTAAATTCTACTACTATCCTTTTAAATTTTCTGTGTTAAAATAATAAAGAATGGGGAGGGGGATGAATTGTAAGGGGAGAGGGAGTAGGGAGCTAGGAAAGGATATAAACAAGGAGGAAAGAGAGACATAAAGAAACCAAGAGAACATCACACTGTATCAATAGATACCATGAGTATAATGAATACATCTCCTCTCAAATCAGTTATTTGGCTCTTTTCAAAAGAAAACTATAACTAGGGACGCCTGGGTGGCTCAGTTGGTTAAGCGACTGCCTTCAGCTCAGGTCATGATCCTGGAGTCCCAGAATCGAGTCCTGTATCGGGCTCCCTGCTCAGCAGGGAGTCTGCTTCTCCCTCTGACCTTCCCCCCTCTCTGTGCTCTCTCTCTCTCATTCTCTCTCTCAAATAAATAAATAAAATCTTAAAAAAAATATATATAACTCATTATATCTGAACTAGAAAGATAATGAGTTTATGATTAAAATATACCAAACCTTGAACTCCTTTGGGGCAGCTCTAAGACTTAATTTGCATATGTAGTACCTTGTATGGGACCATAACAGAGATCAATAAATGTTTATTGAATTGAATTGAATGAACTAAGACATACACGATTTTTTTTTAAAAGCCGGTAGTAAAAATTCCTTGCCCTGGGGCACCTGGGTAGCTCAGTCAATTGGGTGTCCCACCCTTGATCTCAGGGTTGTGAGTTCAAGCCCTGCACTGGGTTCCACACTGGGAATGTGGAGCCTACTTTAAAAAAAAAAAAAAAAAAATCGAGACGAACCATGAGAAACTATGGGCTGTGAGAAACAAACTGAGGGTTCTAGAGGGGAGGGTAGTGGGGGGATGGGTTAGCCTGGTGATGGGTATTAAAGAGGGCACATATTGAATGGAGCAGTGGGTGTTATACACAAACAATGAATCATGGAACACTACATCAAAAACTAATGATGTAATGTATGGTGATTAACATAACATAATAAAATTTAAAAAAAAAAAAAATCTGGCTAGGAGCTATACGGGATTAACAGCACAGCTCTGGGCTATTAAAGTGGACCAGAATGGCTTTCTGACACTGAAGAAATTAAAAGTATGGGAAAGGGTAGCCTCTTCCTCCAGAGGGCACTGTTTGGCCTCAGAGATTCAGAGAAAGCAATTGAAGTTAGATTTTTGCATCTGATCATAGGGGCAATGTTACTAGAAGAAGAAATTATAAATAAGTGTAGAAGAAGGTATAAATAAGTTTTGGTCTATTCATACAGTGGAATACCATGCAATAAAAATGAACAATATACAACCACTTGCAACAATAAGGAGGACTCTTACAAACAATATCAATTGATAGAAGCAAGATGCTGAAAGTATGCATAGATCTCCCTTGACTTATAAATTGAAAATACCATAAATCAAAAATGCATTTAATCTACTGAACATCATAGCGTAGACTTACCTACCTTAAACATGCTCAGAACACTTACATTAGCCTATGGTAGGACAAAGGTCCCTAACACAAAGCCTACTTTATAATGAAGTGTTAACTATCTCATGTAATTTATTGAATACTGTGCTGAAAGTGAAAACCAGAATAGTTAGTTATGTGTCTGTCATTTCCCCTCATGATCATGTAGCTGATTGGGAGTCATGGTTGCTGCTGCCCAGCATCATGAGAGAGTATCATACTGCATATTGCCAGCCAGGGAAAAGATCAAAGTTCACAATTTAAAGTATGCTTTCTACTGAATGTGTATTGCTTGTGCACCATGGTAAAATGGAAAAATCTTAGGTTGAATCATCGTAAGACAGGGACCATCCGTATTTTCTGTATCCAATTACATACAACACAAAAAAACAGGCAAAACTAACCCAATGACTAAAAAGTCAAGATAGTGAGTACCCATGGTAGGGTCAGTGACTGGAAGGGAGCACAGGGGGAGCTACTCGGTGCTGGTCATGTTCTGTTTCTTGAACTGGATGTGCTTCATTTATGAAAACTCATTGAGCTATACACTAGTAAAATGTTTGTCATTATATATATTATTCATCAATATAAAAGTTTAAAAAAAAAAAAGTAAGATTCAAGGGGTGCCTGGGTGGCTCACTTGGATAAGCATCAGACTCTTGATTTTGGCTCAGGCCATGATCTCAGGGTCATGACATCGAGCTGCCAGTAGGGCTCTGTGCTCAGTGTGGAGTCTGCTTGTCCCTCTCCCTATGCTCCTCCCCCTACTCATCCTGTCTCTCTCTTTTGAATAAATAACTGAAAAAAATCTTTAAAAAAAAACACAAACAAAAAGTAAGATTCAAAGTACTGAATTTCTAAATATTTCTGTTTTGGAATATAAACATATATCATGTATCAGATAACATTATAAAAAAGATATGTCAAGTGCCTGGGTGGCGCAATGGGTTAAGCCTGCAACTCTTGATTTTGGCTCAGGTCATGATCTCAGGGTCATGAGATCACCCGCATTGGGCTCTGCACTCAACGTGGAGTTGGCTTGGGACTCTCTCTCCCTCTCCTTTGGCCCCTCCTCCAACTTCTCTCTCTAAAATAAATAAATAAATAAATAAACCTTTTAAAAAAAGATATGTCAATGCTTCTGAACTAATCTTTTAAAATTTAGATTATTAAATAAATTATAAAAATAAACAAAATCAAAGCTCATAGGTATTGATTGCTGACGATCAACCTCAAAGGTGGCCAAGAGCATGGGCACAGGACAGAAATGGGACCAGCTTCAGGAACAGCAGAAAAGCTCTCTGTATTGGTTTGGACATAGAAGGGACATGAGCAACCCATCACACCCTATCCTTTCCTCTAAAGAATAATCTTCTTGTCCTGAGTTTCCCCAACTGGTCCTTTATACCTGGATTTAGCAACTGAACTCAAGAAAAGAGATCCTCAAGAGGAAACCTTGTCTACTAGGCCTTGAAAAAACAAGTCTAAGGATGACAGATTGGACATCTTGGTAGATTTGGAACATAACTACATCTGATTCCTAGACTGCTAATAGCTCATGATCATGACTAGTTTCTGGAACTATACCTCAGTGAAAATATTATGCTTGGAAAACTTGTCCGAAGTTCATCATTAAAATACTTATTTGTAAAAAAAATCCTTGCCCTTTTCAGCCTGGATTATAATTTTTTGGTTTAACCCCAAAAAACAAATAATCCAGTTAAGAAATGGACAGAAGACATGAATACATTTTTCCAAAGAAGACATACAAATGACCAACAGACACATGAAAGATGCTCAACATCACTCATCACTCAACATCAGGGACATATAAATAAAACCACAGTCAGACACCACCTCACACCAGTCAGAATGGCCAAAATTAACAACACTGAAACAACAGATGTTGGCGAGGATGCAGAGAAAGGGGAACCCTCTTACACTGCTGGTGGAAATGCAAGCTGGTGCAGCCACTCTGGAAAACAGTATGGAGGTTCCTCAAAAATTAAAAATAGAGCTACCCTATGACCCAGCAATTGCACTACTAGGTATTTACCCCAAAGGATAAAAAAATACTGATTCTAAGGGGCACATGCACCCTAATGTTTACAGCAGCATTATCAACAATAGCCAAACTACGGAGAGAGCCCAAATGTCCATCAACAGATGAATGGATAAAGAAGATGTGGTATATGTACACAATGGAATATTACTTAGCCACAAAAAAGAAGGAAATCTTGCCATTTGCAATGACATGGATAGAGTGAGGTGTATTATGCTAAGTGAAATAAGTCAACCAGAGAAAGACAAATACCACATGACTTCACTTATATGTGGAATTTAAGAAACAAAACAGATGAACATAGGGGAAAGAAGGGGAAAAAAAGGAGAGAGGGACAAATCATAAAAGAGTCTCAACTATGGAGAACAAACTGAGGGTTGATGGAGGGGAGGAGTGTGGGGGATGGGCTAAATGGGTGATGGGTATTAAGGAGGGCACTTGTTGTGATGAATGCTGGGTGTTATCTGTAAGGGATGAATCACTAAATTCTAGTCCAGAAACCAATATTACACTATATGTTAACTAACTAGAATTTAAATAAAAACTTGAAACAAAAAAAAAAAACCTTTTGTTTAGCTCTCCTACTATAATCATTATATTTGCAATCAAATACCTTTCTGACAAAAATTAAATACCTGTCACAAGTATTTAATAAACCCAGAAGAAATAAAAAACATTTTACCAGTGGAACTTCTCAAATCCCTTACTGTGGTTTCACTTCCCTGAACAAAAGTTAATACAATGCTCTATCATTGTGGTTTTCAAATTTTTTTTAGAATAGTAAAGCCAAATTTTCAAATGAAATTCTATCTCAACAATTGTATATAAAACTAATAAAAAGGGCGCCTGGGTGGCTCAGTCGGTTGAGCGACTGCCTTCGGCTCAGGTCATGATCCCAGGGTCCTGGGATCGAGCCTCACATCGGGCTCCCTGCTCTGCGGGGAGCCTGCTTCTCCCTCTCCCACTCCCCCTGCTTGTGTTCCCTCTTTCGCTGTGTCTCTCTCTGTCAAATGAATAAATAAAAAATCTTTAAAACTAATAAAAACATGTTAGGGTGTTATACCCAAAGCTGAGCTCCTGAGGGAACTTCAGCAAAGCCCTGGGGATCCCTGTAATTCAGTTTTGACACCAGTGCTGTTCTAGTTACTTAAACATTCATACCCACAAATCATCATCTCTAATGGCCATTGTGTGCAAAGTGACTCCAAATAATAACTAAGCGCTGTATTCATGGACTGGAAAGTGGTATTTCATTAAGAATGTTAACTCTAATTGAAATGACTGCCTCATTTCCTTCATTATTAGAAATATAGCTAGCATAGGAATTTTCCAAAAAGGAACAAAAGAAGTTATTATCAAAACAGACTTAAAATCAGAAGTCAGGTTATGACTCAACCTCTTATTTAATGATTAAACAATATAGAATTTTGGCAAGGTGCAATTCCCGTGATATTTTAAATCTGGCTTTAAATTAGCTATAATAACCTCCTTCAACACTATCACCAAGTATTCAAAAAAGCAATTAATTTCACCTGGGGAGAAGCACAGACACAAGAGTACAAGGTTGCTGCCAAATGGAAAATGTCTTCTGAATATCCATAAGTCTTCAAACAAGAATCTAATCCATAAAGTAGAGAAAAATGAAACAAAAAAAAAACAATTACAAATTTTCAAGTAGAAAAGGCATAGAAACACAGAAATTCTACAAAATGACATAAATGGTACCTGGACAAATATCATGTCACTAAGATATTTCTATACGAAAACTAATCTAAGTGGGCTCTAATGCAATTAAAATAGACTATTACCATTAATCTGCAATCTGTATGCCAACTACATCCAAAATAGAATTGAAAAGGCTTATAATACTAAAACACATGTAAAACATGGCAGTTGAAATAAAAATAACAAAAATATCTATTCAGAAACCACTAGAAAAAATATATGTACCATTGCTTGGTACAAATTATTTACTGCAATTGAACAGCCAGGAAATGCCTTAAGAACATTATAAAACATAAAAAAACATGGGATTAAATCATTCTTGTCAGTCTAAAATTAGAGGTTGCAAATTTTCAGTTATATGTACAATAACTTTTAAGACTTAAAATGTTGGAATGAAAAACTGCCCCTACTGAAAAAAGATGGGAGACCACCAAATCTTCCCTTGCCAAAGGGAACTGATGGCTTTTGATTGACTGCTGTGCTGGTCTCTCACTTACCAACAAGGTAGCCGCTAAGTAAAGCCTTACTCACCTCCTCAAAATCATCACACAGAATGAAACCCAGCATCCTTACAAGGTCTAGGAGCCTGCAGGACCTGGTACCCAGCTATTTCTCTGCCCACATTTCCTACCACATTCTCAAATTCCACCAGCACCACCAGCGCACTCTAGCCACGTGTGCCTCCTTGTCACTCCTTCGACAACCAAGCACACTTGGTCTTTGCACGTCCTGTCTCCTCTGCCTTGAACATTCTTGCTCACTTTGCCTAGAGAGTATATTTTATCAGATGAAATTTTAAGTTTTCAAAAAGGCAAATAAATACTCACCTTGAAAAGCAATTTTCTTAACATTAATTTGAGCTGATTGTCCTTCTTTGTAATTTTCCATGGGAAAGACCAAACCTTTGTTTCTCTTTACGTTGATTAAAGGTTCTATTGCAACAAGGAGAATTAAATCCTTTTCTGCTTTCTTTGACTCTGGATCATCCTGCCTCTAAGAGAAGTATATCCCACAAGTTAATAATTCAAAGCCATCTTAACAAAATAAAAACAAATCATTGGTTTTTGTATATCTTACCTGGAGAAAATCAATAAGCTGCCCAGCTAAAGATTCAAATAAACTCCATTCCTCATAAGTAAAAGCTAACTTTACAAATTTCACAGCAGCATCTATAGAAATAACATTTTTTCCTTTTACAGTAAGTTGCAAAAGAGATGTTTGTGGAAAATCAAGCATTCCATCTGCACCAGTACTTGACACTAGAAAAGGAAAAAGAGAGGTTTGAATGTCATTCATGCAAAGAAATAGTTACTAAATATTAACTAACAGATACTGCTAGGCACAAGAGAAACAATGGAAAAGAAGCAAATACAATCCCTGCCTTCACAGAGCTTATACTCTAACGAGGAAACAAGAAATCTTAGCAGGAAAATACAGGGTGCTGTGGGGACAAATAAGAAGGGCATCGAACATGGGTTTGAGGTAAGAGAGTGGTCAAGGACGTCCAGCCAGAGGAAGGAACATAGAATCCCAAACACAGAGAATTAGCAAGAGTTAACTAGTCAAATAGGTAGCTAGATATTACAAACTGAAAGCTCAGGAAACAGGTCTATAATAGGGATACAGCTTTAGAGTCACCATTATATATCCATAGTAAACAACAGAAGCAGCCATGGGCAATGTACAGCTGCCTAGGACAGGAGAATTAGGAACCCCAACATGTAAGAGAAGGGTAGAGGGAGAAAAGGCTGCAAAGAAGAGTGTTTAGAAAGGAGTATTCAACAGTAACAAATACTAGAGTGTAAAGGAAGAAAAGCACTGAGAAGGGACCCTTGGATTGAACAAAAAGGAAGTTGTCCATGACATTCTCCGTAGAGTAAAAAAACACATGTATAGTCACCTTGTTTATGGCAAAAGGATACTATAGTCAATGGGGAAAGGAAGGTCTCTTCAATAAATGGTGTTGTGTCAACTAGATGTTATATGGAAATAAATAAATCTTGATCTCTACCTCATACCAACAAAAACAAAATTGAGACCTAATGTGAGAGGTAAAATAATAAAGCTTCTAAAAGAAAACATTGGAATATATCTTTATGACATTACAGTACAGAGATTTCTTAAACATGACACAAAAATGGTTAACTATAAAGGCTATACTGATAGACTGGACTACATTAAAATTAAGAATTCCTGTTCCTTAACAGCTATAATTGAGAATGAAAAGGCAAGCCACCAAGTGGGAAAAGATATTTGCAATATATATATTCAACAAAGAACTTATATCCAGAATCTATAAAGAATTCTGACAAACCAATAAGGAAAAAGCAAATAGCCCAATAGAAAAATGGGCAAAAGATGGTTCACAAACTGGCTCCCTTCCACGGAGGGCAAGGAGAGACTAAAGAAGAGGCAGACCACTCCAGACTGGTAGGTGGTCATTTTAATAAAGCAAAGGAACTTACATATAAGGCTTGTCTATATAGTTTCCCCAGAAGATTTAACTGGGTTCAGTCACGTATACCATCCACCTGGTCTCAACAACACCTTAGTCTCACAAGGCTACATCCTTGAAATCACTGCTAGTACAAGAATAGTAGGTAGGACATACACACCAAGGACAGGGTGGGGTGGGAGATGGGGACTATAAGGAGCCTCCAAATGCCTGGGTCCAGCTCAAGAATTAACTGGTAGTCATATCCTCTTGATGACCTCCTCCAACAAATCTGAACAGGCACTTTGCAAAATAGGATATCCAAATGGTGAAGAAATATATGAAAAAGTGCCCAACTTCATTAGTCATCAGAGAAATGCACATTAAATCCATAATACTACTGAATTTGCTGAATTCATACCAGAATGGACAAATGAAAAAGACAAATAAATCTAAGGGTCCAAATTTGGAGCAATTACAACTCTCATAAAATGCTGCTGGTGGTATAATCGGTAACAAAAATAAATAAATAAATAAACCATTTTGGAAACCAGTATCCACTACAGCAAAACACACACATACCCTATGCTGTATCAATTCCACACCAAAAGAAATGCATAGCAGATGATGTTCTCTTTCAGCAATTTACAAAACAAGCAGGCCAAAAACATCAGTAGGAATAGAGAAGACTTAACTACATGATTTACAAACTTCACCTAATCAACATATATATAAAGCAATGTACCCAACAATGAAAGAACATACAGTCTTTTCAAGTATATACAGACTATTTACCAAAATTGACAAGTTAGGCCATAAACCACACCTCAACAATTTCAACAACTTCAAAGAATATCAAATAGAATATGCTTTCTGGCCACAATGTAAGTAAGCTAGAGATCAATACAAAAAAACAATTAGCATATCTCCATGCTTTTTTACTCATGACACGGTATCCAAAAAAAAAAAAGCACAGTGGGCATTTGAAAATATTCTTAACTAAATTATAATGAAGGTATGATAAATCAAAACTTCAGGTACATAGCTACAGTTGCATTTAGAGACAAATGCCTTAATATGCATATGTTAAATAAGGATAAATCCTAAAACATCAATGATCTAAGCTTCCAAGTCAATAAATTTTTAAAAATCAGCAAAGTAAATCCAAGAGAGTAGAATAAGAGAAATAATAAAGAACAGAAACAAATAATATGGAAAACAAATATACAATAGAGAGGATAAACACAAATATTGCTCATGGAAAAAGACTAATGAAATTGGTAGACTCCTGAGGAAACTAATGAAATGAGAGAAAAAGGCAAGGTGACCACTACTAGGTATGAAAAAGAGGAGCCCAGACACCTACAGATCTTATAAAGAAGATTAAGAAGATCATAATGAGATATTATAAACAATTTTATGAAAATTTGAAAATATTGGATCAAAAAATCAAATTTTTTCAAGTCCTATTTACCAAACTGATAGATCTTTTTAATGAAAAGAAAGCCTAAATCACTTTATATCTACGAGAAATTTTTAATCCATAGTTAAAAATCTTTCCACAAAGAAAATTCCAGGTCCAAATGCCTTCACCAGTAAATTCAATCGAACATGTAGGAAGAAATAACATCAATCTGACAAAATCTTTCAGATAAGAGAGAAAGAGAGTGCACTTCTCAACTCTTTATATGAGGTCAATATGACCTTGAAAGCAAAACCTAAAAAGGACATTACAAGAAAGGAAAATGTCTCATGAACAGAGAAGCAATATAATAAACATTAGCAAACAAAATCAAATAATATATCAAAAGGATAATCCTCACCTCCACATTAGACTTATTCCAAAAATATAGGGTGGTTAAAAATTAGATAAGCAATCAATGTAATTTACCACATTAATAGAAATACACTAGAAATCCATTCAATCAACTCAATAAATCCAGAAAAGGCTTTTGATGAAATTCAACAACTATTCAGAATTAAAAACAAACAAACGAAACTCAGCAAACCAAGAATAAAAGAAACTTCCTTAATATGGAAAAAAGGTATCTAAAAAAATCCTTCAGCAAACATCAAAATTAATGGTAAAATGTCGAAAGCTTTCCATGTGAGATCATAAATGAGACAAGGATATCTGCTATCACCACTTCCATTTCATGTTTTATTAGAGATCCTATCCAGTGCAATAAGCCAAGAAATGCAAGAAAGAAGAAATTAAAAGATTAAGAATAGGAAAGAAAGAAATACAATAGTCATTATTCACAGGTTAAGATGATAATATACCTAAGCAAATCCAAAAGAAAATCTCATAAATTTTTTAAATTATCAGCTGAGTTTAACAAGATTGCTGAATTTAAGATAAAAAAAATTGGGTATCAGTTTCCTATATGTGGAATACCATACTAAAATTTTTGTTTTTCATGTTCTACCATAATATATTATTTTAACAAATTATTTACTTATTAAAAGTTCTTTTCCTGCCATAAACAGTTCTGAGACAACATCACGAACTTCTACTTCATCTGTAACAATGGGTCCAGTTTGCAGTGTGCGCCTATTTGAATCAGAAAGAGCTTCTAAGACAGCCAGAAACCGGGATGCGGTACTGTCAAACATCTCATCCAACAGCCGCTCTGTGACGGTACGTGGCCATGGCAACTGGAATAAAAACAAAAACAAAAACCACAGTCCACTTCTTTAAAGTTCTACAATGTTTAATATTATAAGCAAAGAGAAGTAAGGCATGCTTCATTAATGCTAAGAGAGTGGCTGGCCCATCAATGAGATGGTTACTTTTACGGTGTTCATTTTTGAGGTGTTTCTCCAGACTCCATTAAAGTTTATGTCATGACACCATTACATTGAAGACTGCTATTTCTTTACGTTCCTGTTTCCGAGGCAGCATTAAAAGGCTGTTTATTACCGTCTTTTTATTAGGGCAACATCAATCTCCATATGCTTCGTGTTACCTTAATTACAGTCTTCAGGAACTGATACTCAAACTTTGATTGCCTAGGAGTCTCTCAGGAGGGCTTTTTTTTTTTTTAAGATTTTATTTATTTATTCATGAGAGAGAGGCAGAGGGAGAAGCAGGCTCCCCAAGGAGCACGGAGCCCGATGCAGGACTCAATCCCAGGACCCCGGGATCATGACCTGAGCCGAAGGCAGACTCTTAACCATCTGAGCCACCCAGGCGCCCCTCAGGAGTGCTTTTTAGATTCACAGACCAAATCTTGAGATTCAGTGGGTCTAGATGGGGCACTTTTCATAAGCACCACAGGAAATTCTAATGCAGAAGGTCCTTAAACCCAAATTTGAAACAATATTTCACAGTATAAACAGCTGGTCTTGTGGTAGTTAACGAAAGAAGAACTGACTAGCTGTATAGTAATATGCTAATGACTGTTAGAGCCCTATATGAATTCCCAGCTACTCTGCTTTGTATCATCCCGGAATGATTTCCCCTCCTGCCTATGACTTGCCTCTACACTATTCTTCTGACAACTGATCTGTTCTCTGTATTTAGATTACCAGTAAGTAAGAGAAGTAGCTCTGGTCAGCTTTTCTAGAATCCATGTCCAGTTAGAAGATACCCATCATATTCCCCATGATTCCCCTGCTTCTCTCCTCTTCTTGGGGCAAAGTCAGAAAGACAGAAAAACGTAAACAGGGTTAAAACTGCTTTGGACTATTTCTCCTCAAACATCAACTTCTCTACTCATTAGCTTCTATGACTTTTCAATCCATAGGTTAACTGAGAGGTTAAAAACCTCAATAAACTTGAACTTCATGCCCTAGCCTTTTACAAACAGAGGTAAAGGTTTCTTCTAAGATTTTTACTGTAGGTTAAAACAGAGCTTTTAAAAAATTATACTTAAAAGCATAATAAACTTTCTAATAATTAGAAGTATTCAAAATGAAATTATAAAAACCAAAGATTATAGTTAAATTGTTTTTAGAAATACCATAGAAAAACTACCAAAAAGTAAAATAGAATATTTATCAGCTGTAGATGAATACCAAGTAAAACATTCTAAAATATAAATATTTAAAAGGTCTATAAAAAAGATTTAAGGCAATAAAAAAACAATGGGTTGCCAAGCATGACAAGCAAATTATTAATGTCTACAAAAACGAGTTCATTTAAGTATATTTTAAAAATTAAAATCTCTAGTAGATAAATGGTCAAAAACTGTGGAAGATAAAATCCACAGAAGGAAATAAAAAGAGTAAAAACAAATATAAGGGAAAGTTGAATCAAAGAAATAGTTAAAATGACAAGCCATTTTAAAAAAACTGAATTATTAAAAAAATAAAGAGGGATGCCTGGGTGGCTCAGTCAGTTAAGCATCTGACTCTTGATTTAGGCTGAGCTCATGATCTCGGGGTCGTGGGATCGAGCCCCGAGTCGGGCTCTGCGCTCAGCGCAGAGTCTGCCCTAGATTCTCTCTCTCCCTCTCTCCTGCCCCTCCCACCGTGTGCGTGCTCTCTCTCTCTCTTTCTCTCTCAAATAAATAAATAAATATCTTTTTAAAAAAATAATAGCAAAATGATAACAACTAGTAGTGAAATTGGTACCTGCAGGCTGTACCTTGCATAGCTATTTCAGAAATCAATTTGGGAATATATATCAGGTGAGATAAAAGTGCTTGTATCCTTTGATTCAAATCCCACACCTTGAATTTTGTCCACAGGAAATTAAAAAAATAGCACATGGAAGCTGTTGATTACTTCAATATTTAGAATAACAAAGATCTGGAAACAACTAAAATTTTAAATAGTAATAAAAATATTTGACAAGTTACGGTACAAATACTGCATAGAGTATGTTAGACCATCTTTAAAAACATCAGGTTGGATGAGAAGCTAAATGACATGATCCAGATAGTCTGTTCGACTTCTAAATACTATGGTTTCTATGACATCTACTCCATGAGATGTATTATGTTAATCTCTAACATAATATACCTAGCCCAGTCAAGCTTAATTTCTCACTTTGTTTGCTCCTGCTTCCAAGCTATGATTGTGTTCTTGTCCTGTACTTAGAATGTTTTATCCTCTCCTCCCTATCCACTCAAATCCTGCTCATTATTCCAAGGCCATTCAAGAAGACAGAACTGTGACTTTGCTTTTCTATATTCCACCATACTTGTAACCACAGCAGGCATTTGATACATTCTGTTAAATAAATGAATAAAAATAAATAATAGTAATAGCTAATATTCCTGAGGACCTACTGCATGCCAGAAACATTCTAAGGGCTTTACGTGTAATTCATTTAATCTCTACCATTATTTCCTTCTTAATACTCATCACAAACTATAATTACTATACTTATTTATTATGTAATTTCTCCACTAGAATGTAACTCCTATCTATCTTGTTCATATAGCAGGTACTTTAAAAATATTTATTGAATGAATCACTAAACAGTCAGTCATTAGGAGTACGGCTTAGTAGTCCTTTAAAGGAATCCTTTGAAAGTCAAAATGATTAACTGTGAGTTCACAATGGACTTACAAATTCAGAAATGTTTTATAAAATAGATTTAACGCATATTGAAATTATTTTCTTTTGCAGACACATAATAAAATTATTTCATAAATATAAAGCAGAACATTCTGCAAAGTATGTCAAGGTAACATACTATGACTTTATAAAAAGGGTATGTTGACTATTCCCTATAGAAACTACTAACTAAACAATTATAACTTTTTTCTAAAAAGATATACCACCAGACTTTTCCATAAGATAATTATCTTAAAGGAAACCAGAAATAGATGTGTTTTTAATGTAATGTTATCTGGAATTTGAAACGCTTCTCTTTGGAAATATATTTAATTTTTATTGAAGGATGATTATAAAGCATTATAATATGCTAATTAATGACAGCCTTGCAGCTTTGGATACTTAAATTTGGTTTGCTCAGAGAAAAAAAAATTGCTAGCCAGAAAAAAAAAAAAAAACCTACCCCATGCTCTCTTACAAATGCTATAGAGCGTTACTTCTCAACAATACCAGATGCGGGGGTGCCTGGGCGGCTCAGTCGTTAAGCGTCTGCCTTCGGCTCAGGTCATGATCCCAGGGTCCTGGGATCGAGTCCCGCATCGGGCTCCCTGCTCAGCGGGGGGCCTACTTCTCCCTCTCCCGCTCCCCCTGCTGTGTTCCCGCTCTTGCTGTGTCTCTCTGTCAAATAAAAAAAAAAAAAAAAAAAAAAAAACCAATACCAGATGCAGGCAGTTCCACAGCTCATCCAAGGAATTACCTATGATTGGGCAAGTCACCACCCCCACTGATTATCCACCACTGGTCAGTAAGGGATATGATTTTAAAAGGATGTATGAAATGTACCTCTGGGCTCAGCAGCCAACATACCATAGTCAAACTAAGAAGCAATAAAAAGCTACCATGCCCACATGATTTTTGTATTTAGATATTATGATTTATTTTAGAGAAAAGAAAAATAACTTCTCTGAAATGTTGTAAGAAGAAATGCATGAAGAGAGCAGCAGTTATCGGAGTAATGAGAAAGCACTGGACCAGAGTCCTGCGGCTGCCTTTGTGACCTTTGAGGCCATAATTTAAATACTCTGGGCTTTATGTTCCCATATTAATAGGACAGGACTGGACCAGACGATTTCTTAAATTTCTTCCAGGTTCTGAAATTCTGTTACTCTCCTGTCCAAAACCGCTCATCTTCCCCTTCACTTTCATTTTTGCTCCCTACCAAGAAGTTCACAGAAAAATTTACAGCCATCGAGGATGGTCAGGGAAAGCTTCAAAATAAAAACAGAACTGGGCCTTCAGGGATACTGAGATTCAGAAAGGCAAGGGCAAGACAGTGGGAGGACAGGGCAGGGGGGAGAAAGGGCAGAGGACCCCAGAAGGCATAACTATGTCCCAGTCTTCCTCCCTGACAGCCCTTAGTGCCGCTGACCAAACACGCCTGTCGCCAGGACAGCCGTACGACGAGTCTTGACCTGTGAGAAGAGACTGCGCTCCCTCCCATGCTGGGCGTTATTGCCTGCGCACAATTCTCCAGGGCTTTCTCCAACGCCCTACGGCAGAACAACCAGCAACTTTCAAAATGAGGGCTTCTCCTCACCCTGATCCTTGGCAGAGCCCCCTGTGAACTGTCGTAGCCATCATGTCAGTGGGAAATAAAGGTTGTTTTAAGCCACTGAGATATGGAGGTTGTTTTGCCTCAGTGTAGCCTAGTTCCTGAACACTCCCAAGGGTGAAGTCTGAAGCTGAGGAGAGAAGGTGCCTCTACCTTCTCTCCAACCTCAAAGCCCACTAAGCTAACACCAAGCAGTCAAAGACACAGGCCTCCATGACACCACTCCAAGTCCACCTTTGAACCTTTCTCAGGCTCTTCGTCTTCATCTTGCCCTTTAAAGTTACAAAACTGGGATTGTGGGAAGGTACAAAACTTTAAGAAAGGGATGGAGTGAGGCTGTGTCCAAAGTGGGAAGGCATTCCTCTATTTGCCACTGGTGCTGAGAACAGGGGGCAGGATTTAATACTGAGTGACCAGGCTTCAAAGATGGGAGGTATAACACAAATACACTGCAGAAAGAATCTGAACAAGAAAAGACATTCTTAGACTTACAGTTTGAGCTTCCCTCAGGTTAACTCTTATCTTTGGTCTAAAGAAACTTTTGTTTTTTCTTCTAGATTCAAATACTCCTCTTTTGAAGATCATCACTGCCATCTGTCTCAGAAAAAGAATTATATATGAGGTAACAATGGGATGCACTTCTCAACCACTAATATTAAGTACTTAATCAACTATATAGTGCAGTAAATGTATTTTATTTCATGAAACTTTTATACCTTTATTGTGGCCTCTCTATAATGTCTTCTGGATTCTTCCTGTGATTGTGAGGAACTCATTAGTTCCAGTTGCCTTAACTCATCAATTTTAGCTAAAGCACGCCGAGCAAATGCCTGTATGCGATTAAAATAAATTTAATTCATAATAAGTGAGAGTATAGTGATTAAAAACGTATCAAGACAGCATGTTTTATTCTTCCAGATATTTGATTTAATTGGTGAATTAAACTCTAGGCTGATGCGAACTCCTTATAACACTATAACTATCCCATCGATCATTTCCTACAAGCATCCCAAAATTCTGCAGGTCTAAAGTTAATAAGCTGTCAGATATGCTAACTTTATGAATCAAGAAAATCAAAAAAGTAAGAAAAGCCAAATTCTGTAGCTTCATATAGATGATCACTTCTCTGGTATCACATACACACACATACACGGCACACACACTCCTCAAAATACTGACTTTCTTACTAAAGCATCCTGTACTATCTAGTCAACTGTTCACTTTGTCCACTAAATTGTGAGGTCCTCCTCATAGGGTCTTATTTATTTTTGTATCTCTAGTACCCAGCATATAGGAAGTATTTACTAATATGTGGACAAAAAAGAAGGAAGGAAGGAAGGCAGGAAGGATGGAAGGCAGGAAAGGAAGGAAGGAGACCCACTTATTTAATCAGATCACCATTATTATGATTCTCTACAGTTCAATTTATGTCATTTATTCTACCATTCCTTTGAAATATTTCACCTATAATTTACAATTTTTCATGAAGATGCTTCTAGACATAATAACACACATGAAGGGTTAAACTTTCCAATAAGGAAGAATTCCAATAGGAATCAAATCGTCCAAACTGTGTATATGTTCCCTTCCCTGACAATTTTAATAGCTACAGAAACATATCACTGCTAGTACACTCTAACTGTACATGCATGGTGAATAGTTTCTAGAATGTACCCCAGGCTAGAAAATGTACCCCTCAAGGGCTGCAATAGGCTATTCAGGATGAGCCACTACCACCCAACCCTTCAGAATTAGTTTGGGCAGGAAACATTAAATGTAAAGAAGCCGCTAACCGGCCTGATGGTTGTGAACAGGATACAAAAAGAAGATTTGTACAGCTGTGATGGCTCTGTCCTGCACAGGACTTCCAGCCAAGAGGCTGAGTGAGGGCTGCAATCCAGCCCCCCCTGCACTCAGCAGACCATGCACTCTGTGCAGGCCTGAAGGAAGGGGTGCCTCCTTCTGATTCTCACCAAGCCCTCACCCACTGACAAGCCAGCTACCACGTACTGTAGAGACGGCACCTTTGTTCATGGACACAGAGGTACCATAAAGGCTAACAGAAGCGCCTAGCGGCTAAGTTACATTTCGAGTATTCGGTCTAAGAGACACACAGGAAAAGAAGAAAAACAAGAAATCGGGCGTATTAAACAAATGGCAGCTGGAAGCAGAGAAAAGCAAGACAAATGGACAGTAGGGAGACTGGAAGGAAAGTGACTTGCATACAAGCATCCAATGGGGAAGGTAAGATATCCGAAATCCTGTTCAGAAAAGGGGCAGAGGAGGCAGAAGTGAACGGAGAAGAAAGGAGAGAGCAGAATGTAGAACAAGAGATCAAAAGAATGGAGAAGCCAAGCACACTTCTGCAAATAAACCCTGGGACTTGTGTGTTGTCCCAGTGCGATTCTTTAGGTTTTGTTTGTCTGTTTGTGTTTGTGTTGCTGGGCATCTGAAGAAGAAAATGCTGAATAACTTGTATTTTTAATTTTTTTTTTATTATTTATTTATTCATGAAAGTCAGAGTGAGAGAGAGAGGCAGAGGCAGAGGGAGAGAAGCAGGCTCCCCGCCGAGCAGGGAGCCCGACGCGGGACTCGATCCCGGGACCCTGGGATCACGACCTGAGCCGAAGGCAGACACTTAACCATCTGAGCCACCCGGGTGCCCCATAACTTGTATTTTTAAATACTGGAATCCTGAGCATGGAAGGCGGCCCACCTCTCCGTGAATGCCAGCCTGGCAGTCATAGTAGCCCTGGCAGACAGCAGTGTAAAGGGTAGCTCTCCACGTCAAGTACCGGACCGACAGGAGGGGGACCGAGAACTCCATACACATGCTGGCCCACAGGAGGTACTCCAAGGCCTGAGGGAGAAAGAGCACACTGGAATGTGTTTCCATTTTAAGCTATCAGTGACGATTTCTATCTAATGTAACCAAATTAGAAGTCGTGAGCACAAGTTGCTGACTGCTTAAACCAAAAATACCATAGATGGTAAGTCAAGAGAACACAAGCATTTAAAAAGTAAAGGAATAATTTCAAGAACTCGAAATCTCAAGTTAGTGATTTTAGAATGTCTTCCTTCTTAGCTCCTAACGTGCTCTGAACTCAGCTGGTTTTTATTAATACCTGTCAAGTGTCCACAGCAGTGTAGGAGGTAATTTACATTATGTTTCTATACCTACATATCTCCATTACATCCAATGCCATTAATATGCTCACATGGGTGTGATTCCAAAGCTAGACTGTAATCTCTTTGAAAACAAGAATGGCACTTTGTTATTACATCATCAGCACCTGAAAGAGTACCTACCAGGCACACAGTAGATAACCCCAAGTGCTATTAAATGAATTCAGTGGACAAACTTAAAGTCAGCAGAATCAACACAGGAGAGCTAACAAGTCTTTGAGTCTCTCAAGAAAATAATGATAATAAATTTGGGCAACAGAATAAAGTCCTTCTCCCAATAACTAATTCGGCCCTCAATAATTGAGGAAGTAATTAAGGAAAAATATGTAATAGTCAACTCTTGAAAAGGCAAATCATCAAAATGATCCAGGAGCTTCCTATGCATAAAGCAAACCCAGCAGACTGACATAGTATTTAATAGTAAAAATAGATAAAACACCGATAACATTCAAACCCTATTACCATCTCTGGAGCCTTCAAAGACAGTACATACAACACATGTGCAAGCATCTCAGCTTTCTCATCTAAGAGAAAGAAACCTGAAAGGCCAGAATTCTCCACTGTCTAGTCAGTTTTGATTCCGGAGGAAAAGAGAGTGCTGGAAGTAGAGCAGAGTTTGACACAGAACTATAATATTCTTTGCTATCCACTAAGCTCATCCCCCAGAATGTAAAGTCACTCAGGAAAGGGACCTTGTCTGTCTTGCTCACCACCATATCCCCATCTCCTAAAACTATCTGGCATGTAATGGTAAATATTACATAAATATGTGTTGACTGACTGACCTTCATCAAAAAGCTCCAGTTAATGGTGCTAAATGTGGACCTGTGTCAAGTAATCATAGACTCAAAGGGCTGAAAGTCAATCTGATTTCATCCCCACCAATATCACTGGCACCACCACCAGATGTCCTATACCTTCCCCTGTCCAAGAGTTCTCACCTCTAGTAACAAGGAACATGCCACCAGAAGACAATTCTAAAACATGAAAAGTGCTTCCTTAATCTGAAATGAAATCCTCCTGGATATACCTCCAGTGCACTGGTCCTAGTTATGCCTTCTGGAATAACACAAAACCATCCCAAGCCCACTTGCAACTTACAGCCTTCCAAGAATCGGAAAACACCTATGCATCTCCCCTATCTCTCTCTCTCCAGGATAAACATCTCTGGGCGCTTTTTAGATCTCCTAGGACTGCACTTCCCTTCTCCATCATGGTTAGTCTCCCGTGGTTTTGCTCCAGGCTGCCAAAGTCCTTCTCCACAGTAAAATGAAACTTTCAGTCCCTGGTTCTGGACACTACGTCTCTACTAAGTGGGCCCAGGGTTGCTTTATTGCTGTTGTTGTGGTTGTGTTCTTGTTGTTGTTTGCTAAACTTGCCACGCTGTGAACTGAGGTAGAATTAACAGTCATCCAAACGAGTTTTCTCACATTTGTCGCACAAAAATCCTATCGTGGATTTTTGCATATGTACTGTTGTGGTTTATGGGGGTATGGGATCAAACCATGTATAAGTTTTCCCCCTTTAAATTCACAATCTTTTCAAAACCCCTTGGGATCCCTGATATTAAAAATTTCATATTTCAAAATAAAAATAGCTTTAGTCACCAATTGCTCACATTACATTTGGGTTCATATTCAGACTTAGAATAAAAGACCCCGATCACATATTTTAGTGCCAGAGGGACCTTAAAAGTAACCCAATCTAACTCCAAGAGGCTAAACTGCTTGTAAGCAACAGAGCTGGGGCTGGAATTCAGGTCTTTGGACTCCCAAGTACAGCAGCGTTCCTTCCACAATATGGGGCAGCCCTGACAAAGGGAGAGTTCTGAAAACCCATCATTCCACTTAGGGTTCTGAAAAACCGTCAGGTTTAAAGATGAAAAAGCCATTTCTAAAAAAAAAAAAAAAAAAACTTAATTTGTAGCCTTTTTTTCTTGCCCCTAAAAGCTCAGAAGAAGAATTTATATTAATTTAAAAAAAAAAGTTGATGGGATTTCACTGAACTGTTCTCTTTATAAGGGAAAAAAATTTTTGAAAAACCCAGTTATAAGAGCCCAGCAAGAGCATGGCTCAGGTGTTGAGCAGGAAAAACACACGCGATTCATCATCTCAGCCACAGGATGGCGCTGCAGCACCATTTATGTCCTCTTGTACCCTTGGCTGAAAACAACACTGAGAGGCATTTCAAAGTTTGGATTTGAAGTTTACGTAAAGGTACGTGGAATAATTTGACAATAATTGTTCAAACCACAAAATTTTACTAAACTATTTCAGTTCTATAGTAAAATGAAACAGAAGTCAACTTTTTTTTTTAATGAATAGATTCTACCGTATTTCTCTAATGTTTGCTGAGTACCCTACTACAGTTTTAAATGCCTCAGAAGAAATTACAGATTAAACCATAAGTGAAAGGGAAGTTGTCATATGTCTTTAGGAAACGAGGCTTCAGAAATCTGGCCTCCCTCCACTCCCTAAGGTTAGGCGGGTGACCTGTCTGAGCACGAAGGTCTAAATGTTTCGCATCTGGGGAAAAGTCCCTGGTCAGTCCTGGTCTTCAGGACATCTTCAGGAATAGAGTCATGTCGAAAACTATTAACCCTCCTACAGGGCTCCTCCATTCGAGTAGGTGGGCCAAGACAGGATGGGTCATGACAGGGCTGGACTTAGTCAACAGGCACGCATTACTCTCACGTTGTTGAGAAGCAGTACAGTTACAGTATAGCATTGGCCTCCGCTACACCTCTCTGTGAGACACTGAGCCTCAGCCTCATCTTTAAGATGAAGGTAGTAATAGCACCTTTCTCAAAGTGGTGGTATGAGGATTAAATGAGATAATATGTGAAGAAGGTGCTTGGCAGCATACCTGATAAATGGCAGGCATTCATTTGACAAATGATGATGATGATGAGATAGATGCACACCTCGTAAGACTATACTGAGCATTATATATGCAAAGCCCTTCACGTAATACCTAACACATAGTAGGGATTCAATAGTAATAACAAATGGTAGCCATACTGTCTAGATCCTGTAGGAACAGGAGCTTAGATGGCTCTAGGATGACACCAGGAAAAGCCTGGGGATCCCATGTCTGTTTCTCTTTCTGCTGTATGCTACGACAGACTCAAATTCTAAAACTGCTCACACTCAGAAGTGCTCAGATGTGGCTGGACCTCCAAGGGCTTGTCCCCATTAGATGGACCCATCAAGTTCATTTATAGCCTCAGCTCAGGAATCAACTCGCCAGCTGAGGGCTTGGGAATTTCTGGGTGAAAATTATTAATTTCCGTGAAATGTATTATAGTGAACAAACTGAAAGAATCTCATTCCAATCTTCAAGTGCCAACTGTACAACCACCCACCACCCCAAATTCTTGCATCCCTCACTCCCCCTACTCCTATCCCACAAGACTGGGACCACAGAACTATCCTCCTTCAGCCCTTATCTTGTCAGACAAAAGCTCAAGTTCAATAAGGGGGAGGGGAGATGTCTTATGCAGGATCTAAATAAAATTATTTTAAGATGACTATCACATTAAAGTAAAATTCTCTCAGCATTACTAAGTACAAACACTAACAGTTCCATCTGGGCACAGAGAGCTCTGCCCTTCGAGGTTTCGGCAGACAAAAGCTGTAGCAGACCAAACCACGATGGCTCTGTGCAGCAGGGTTTGTTGCTACAGCAAGTGCAACAAGAGTATGCAAATCCTCTTTAGGAAATCATCTGGAACTGAATGTAGAATTGTTGGAATAGTGTGTAGGCCACATTTACATTATTCATGAGACAGTCTCCCCTCATTTCAATTTACATCCAAAACACTGGCACAGAGCTTGCTCGAGTCACTGTCAGTAATAGAGCTTTTAAATGTGAGGAACTAAACAGAGAGAGAACACATAATTAATGTTATGCATTGAGCATGCAAGTATCTTTGCTTCCATTTTTATTTTTTAAGCATTGTCAAATTTTAAGATACTTGGCTATATTTTGAGGAAATAAGAAAAAAAGTAACTGCACTGAGTATTAGAATATTCAGTATAAGGTTTCGCATGCAGTAAAATAAATAAATAAATAAATAAATAAAGCAGTAACGTTTCAGATACCAGAAACAATTCAAGCCTGCTCTCAACGGAAGTGTATTCTCCCTTCTTGGCCTACATTCCAATGACTGGACGTGGACACATGGAATAAATATGTCTCCTACAGACAAAAGTGCTACCAACATTGAAGGGAAGTGTCAGCCACTTCCTCAAGCTAAAACTGAGCAGTAAGTACTAGTAAGTATGAATCTTATTATAAAATAAAGACCCGTTGCCCTCAGCTCATAAATGGGACAATGTTTAGGTGGACATTCACCCAACTAGCATGTGGGCCGTAAGTCAAGTCCAAGCTGGTGGAGGAGAATGAAGTCCAAACTCCATAGCAAACATAAATAAAGTCACCACAGTTTGTCATCCAAACCATAATACTTTAAGGAGTGAAAGGGAGCACTATTAATAATTATTCTAGGACAACAGACATTAACCAGGACTGTCCCGGCAAGCCAGGATGGATGGTCACCCTACCTAAAGAGATAGCTACCAGAGGGATGTTCAGTATCAAGTTGACAAGTAATGACTAATCTGAGAGACTGAGGGACACTGGAGATTACCTATCAATTTTAGGAATTCTTTTTTTTTTCATTAGTATGCTATTGTCTTTTTATTTTTAGAGAGAATCATGTTAAAGTAAAAGAACAGTAAAACTATATTAAATTTTGTTATATAATTTCACTAATTTTCTTTGTTCAGCACTCAATGCTAACAAAAGTCTTGAGAAAAACAGGAAATACAGGGCAAGATATCTTGTCAGTAAATTTCATACCTTGGAAGACTGACCTATGATCATCAGTTTTCTGCAAATGGTGTAAATGTAAATGGTACCTAGATGAAGAAAAAGACTGTTAACATGTTTAACAGTTAAATAATGGAAATTTTATAGTCTAATTTCTGTAGTTTAAATCTATAGTTCCTAAAACAAGTGAAGTTATGAGAAAGTCTGGTAATGGTTAGAGAGTTATAATCATTACAATTTCTTTTGTAACTTGCAGCCAAATCATTAAAAGAACTAATTTGACCATATTTTAAGTACATTGACATGGGAATCTTTTATCCTCATTTGAAAGGCAGCATAAGTTTTGAAATATATTGAAAAAAATATTTAAGTAGCACAATTTATGCACCCTGTGGTTTTTATTAATTTATATAAAATGCTATTGGTGCCCATGGTTTCTTTATGACTGAAAAACTAAAGATTTATCCCCAAATAAGATTAGGATACATATTTAATCAAAATGGCGGGGCGCCTGGGTGGCTCAGTCGTTAAGTGTCTGCCTTCAGCTCAGGTCATGATCTCAGGGTCCTGGGATAGAGCCCCGCATCGGGCTCCCTGCTCAGCGGGAAGCCTGCTTCTCCCTCTCCCCCTGCTTGTGTTCCCTCTCTCGCTGTGTCTCTCTCTCTGTCAAATAAATAAATAAAAATATTAAAAAAAAAAAATGGCACAATACTTAACAAGGAAGCTCATGATAATTTAAAAATCAAAACATGTAATAGTTCCCATTTTATTTATTTGCAGTATCATAATTATATTTGCCCCTTTATTAAGGTATGTCCTATAAGCACTCTAGTGAAAAACAGCATTTCCAACTCCTATTTAAGACCATTCAAGTATGATTTTTTTTTTTTTTTTGGTCAGGCCATTAATTAAATGAAAACAGAAGGCTAGAAAACTGGCAGAGCTGGGGCAGGGGTGGGGAACAGCATCACCAGACATCTCTCTATATACAAAGGACATTATCGTGCTATAAACATACCCCAAAGATGGTAATGTGCCTTAAAAAGCATGTAATTATAATGACAAGTAGTCTAAATATTTTCTATAAAATATCTGATCTAAAATTCAGAACCATCCAAATTCAACAATTACGAATCCATGTTCACACTTAAACTTTAAAAGCTTCTGAGAAAACAGCATCTGCTCCAAAACACACATCACCTGACTAAAATACACTTGTAAGCATAGCATAATAAACATTAATTACATAAGTCCGTGACAAAAAATACTGAATAAACTTTTAAACACTTGCAGCACCATAAACTTTATGGAGAATGCACTAGGTCCTTAACATTCAAGGACTCAGCCTTCTTAGTGTGACTGCCCCCAGGACATGGGATTAGTTATTTCACGTAAGATTCACTGGGGAAGAAACCACTTGGCTACTAACAGCTCAAGCCCAGCATTCTTATCTCAACTTGGCTTTGTTGACCTCTGCTCTTAATCTTTAAAAATGAAATTGTCTGACTATGTTTCTTTATCTTAAAAGTCACCAAGTAAGGATACCCACAGCCAACTCATGCCTCCCCGCAGAACATGTGATTCAGGTGTAAGCCAGGAGCCTGTATTAAACATGTCAGTAACAGGAAGTGCGGAATTTCAGAAGACCTCAGGAGACTGCCCTCAAGAATGACAAGGGCCCTCTGTATTTTTAAAATGAGATTTTAACCTTTCCAGACCTAATATGTCCTGACTATAACTGAATCCTTCTTTGATGGTTCAGGATCTCGGCATGGCCCACAAATTCCCACTGCAGAAGCCTGACAGAGAGAGTAAATGACATGAAATGGAACACAGGTTGAATCTTTACAATCTCGGGATATCTCTGGAAGTTTGTTTTGTTTTATTTTTAACCAAATCCCTAATACGAGTATATTGCCTTGTCATGTGACTCCTTTTCATCAAAGATGGCCACCACCAAAATAATCCAGCTATATGAGGGTTGAATGAGTTGGGTTCAGGTTGGTTGTGAAGTAAGGTATTATGTAATAGTCATACACCCAGTTAGTTTGTGAAAGAACCAAAACTGATTAACTATCTTAAGAAACCAAGAGAGTGTATTTGTTAATAGTCAATTAAAAGTAAAGAGAATCGGTATTAATGTCGAACAGAAAAGGTGAAATGCTTTTTGATAAATTGACAGTAGGTCAATTTATTTTTCATTACTCAAACGCCAAACTTTAAAAACTACAAGGTCTTTGCATTTGTTAATCCCCCAGTCGGAATGCCCTCCCCCGAAATATCCAGATGTCTCAGTCAGGTGTTTACTCAAGTGTCATCTCAGTGAGGCCTTCCCTGACCATTCTGTTTAAAATAGCAGCTCAGCCCCAGCCCAACCTCGGCTCTCCCTATCCCCTTCTTAGCTTTATTTTTCTCCGTAGTATTCATCGCTATCTGACACACCATTTAATTTTTATCATCTCCCTGAAGCATTATGTAAGCATGAGAACAGAGTTTTTGTCTATTGTCCACTCCTGTGTCCCTAGCACTTAGAACAATGTCTGGCACTTGATAACTTTGAGATGACTTCATTAAAACAGGAACAGTAATTAGCAAAACTAAGTATATGCATCTTCCACAACCCAGCAATCCTACTCCTGGACAAAAATCCCAGAAAACTCTAACACAGGATTATAAAAGGACACACATAAGAATATTCATCACAGGGCGCCTGGGTGGCCAGTTGGTTAAGCGACTGCCTTCGGCTCAGGTCACGATCCTGGAGTCCCTGGATCAAGTCCCGCATCAGGCTCCCTGCTCAGCGGGGAGTCTGCTTCTCCCTCTGGCCCTCCCCCCTCTCATGTGCTCTCTCTCTCTGTCTCTCTCAAATAAATAAATAAAATCTTTAAAAAAAAAAAAGAATATTCATCACAGAATCATTTGTGCAATTATAGAGGTAGGGCAAGCCAGGTGCCCATCTCGAGGGGTGGAATACAATTCAAGAGGCAGAATTAACGAACTAGATTTACATATAGGAACCTCGTTCTGTTCTAAAACCATGGTATTGAGTAAAAAAATATTTAGGAAACAGAATAAAATCCAGAGCATGACCATATGTATAAAAAAGCACACACCAAATAAAGGTATATAGAAGATACAGAAATTGGTGTTTTGTTTTGTTTTTAGAATATTGGGATTTCTTGCATGTGATCTTAAATAGACCCCAGACAGGGAATTATTCCACCTCTCAAGCAAGGCCCAACTGCAGGCCCCAACCCTCAGGCCTACCACTCCTTCCTGAGCACAGAACCTCTGGTCCTGCTCGGTCCCTGCCAAGATATGTGAGCAACTCAGGGGGAAGGACGGCAATGGCTACTCAGGGAATCACAGATCTTCTTGAGGATGATCAGGCAAAAAAGCTTAATAGTCACTGGACTGAAAATTTCTTCCAAAATCAGCCTCATCTCAGGCAGCAAATGTAATAAGGTCCAATTTCAATCAAAATGTCAAAAAAAAATTACTTGGGGAGGAGGAGGAGGGAAAAGGCTAGGAAATGTACTTTCAGTTGCCATGGATGAGGGAAAATCCAATATGTTTTCTTTCAAGTTATTTTGTCCTGGTCTTACACACATAGAACACACTGTCATTTTCCTTTTAAGAAATTATCCAGAGATCAATATAGTAGGTGACTGACTATAACTTTAAAAAGAATTTAAATTGAATTTAAGTTGTAACTCCCTAAAGAGAAAAGCTGATGCTGTATTTTGATATGATTCATTTCACAAGACAAATATAATGCATATATGTATATTTGTATCTATACAATGTAGATATGTATATAAATACACCATACACACATACATACACATACATTCTCAAAGCTCCTCTCTCAAAAGCAAGTAGGAGGAGAAGGTTGATAGGTAAAAAGCAATAGTCACTGGACAAAGTATTTGAGGAAAGGACCAATAAATGGATGATGCTTAGAACCAATCTAACCTGCAGCAGTCCTTTGATCCTTTTCCACCTATATTTGTTTATTAACCATGGCCCCTATTTCTTCATACCTGAAACTGACTATCCCCACAGGCTCTGACCCTCCCTTGAGCAGGAAGCCCAAAGGCATGCTTTTCCTGCTTATGAGGACAAACAAAAATATAAAAAAGACAAAAACAAAATCCCCAAAATCATCCTATTATGAAATGAATGGGTTTTTTTTAAAAAGAAATTATTTATTTATATTTGAAGACATTTTTTAGAATTTGGATATGTAATTTGGTTTTTTGGGTTTTTTTAATTTTTATTTACATTCTAGTTAGTTAACATACAGTGTAATATTAGTTTCAGGAGTAGAATTTAGTGATTCATCACTTACATGTAACACCCAATGCTCAACACAAGTGCCTTCCTTAATACCCATCACCCATTTAGCCAAGATAGTCAATCAAATTACTATCAAACTTGGCATTTAAATAACCTCCTGAAAGTCATGATGAGAAATAGAAGACATTGGCACGTACCATTAAAGATAATCCAGCAAAGGTGTTCCTGTGGCAAAGCCAGCTGCATGATAAGTCTTAAGGAGGACAAAATATGCAGACACTGGCTCACAGAGTCTTTATTCTTCAGGTTCACATCATTGTCACAGACCAGCTCATAGTTGCAAATATTTCTGCCACTTAAAGCGTGAAACTGAAACATAGGGAAAATATAAATAAGAATATAAATAAGGTTCATGCAACCTAGAAAAGCATTTCTTAAAATGTGAAAAAATAAAATAGAAATGATTCTGTTTAAATAGCTTATATACTGCTATAGACTGAATGTTTGTGTCCCCCACCAATTGTATATATTGAAACCTAATCCCTAGTGTGACAGTATTTGGATGTGAGGTCTTTAGGAAGAGACTGTCATGAAGGTGGAGCTTTCATGAACGAGATTAGTGCCCTCATAAAAGAGAACCCCAAAGAGCTCCCTACTGCCTTCTACCATGTGAGGACACAGAGAGAGGAGAGCCATCTACGAAGCAGGAAGTGGGCCCTCCCCAGACACCAAACCTTCTAGCACCTTAACTTTGTGGTTCCCAGCCTCCGGAACTGAGAGAAATAAGTGTTATTTAGACCATCCAGTCTATGGATTTTTGTTATAACAGCCCTCAAGGACTAAGACATACGGAAAGAAATGTGGTAAAAGAGGTTTCTTCAAAGCATCCATTTAGTTAGGCTTACTTGTCCTTAATCATAAAAATTTCAAAAGCCAAAAAAGGTACAAATTCTATTTCCAACAATATAGAATTGAATCACATTTTGTAAACCCTCCTCGTAGTATTTTAACTTCTTAATCTGGATGCAATTATTACCATTTACATAATTCATTCAGTAAATGTTTGTTGTGCACCTCTATTTGTCACACTCTGCTAAGCAATAGGGACTCAAGGATGAAGAAGATGTGGCCTCTGCTCTTGGGCAGAAGGAAAAGCATTCCAGGCACAGGCAATGTTAGGAATGCTTAAAGTGGCTGCTGTGGTCACTGAATTGAAAGTCCTTTATAAGTTTGGGTAAAAAGGCTTAAAATAAAGAGATTAGGGGTGCCTGGCTGGCTCAGTTGGAAGACCATTCAACTATTGATCTTGGAGTCATGAGTTCCAGCCCCATGTTAGGTGTAGAGATTACTACAAAAAATCAGCTTTGGGGCTCCCAGCTGGCTCAGTTGGTGGAGCATGCCACTCCTGATCTCAGGGTCATCGAGTCTGAGCCCCAAGTAGGTGTAGAGATTACTTAAAAATAAAATCTTTAAAAAGAGAGAGAGAGATTAGGCTATTAAGGTGGTACATGGTCAGAACATGGAGTGCATTCCATATCATTCCAAGAAATATGGACTTTAGCCAAAGGAGAAAGTCAAAGGGCAGTGGAATAAAATGATTTGATTTATAATTCAGAAGTTTAGAAGTTAATTCTGACAGAAGTGTGGAAAATGAAAAGCAGAGGATGGGCACAAAGCTACAAGCAGGGAAACTAGGAGAGATCAAAGGCCTTTGAGGTAGTCCAGAGATAACAGGGTCCTGAAATGGGTGATGGAATCAGGGATGAAGAGGAAGAAAAGTTTTTTTTTTTAAGATTTTATTTGAGAGAGCATGAGCACATGTGTGCATGCTCAACGGGCACCTGGGTGGCTCAGTCGTTACGCAAATGCCTTCGGCTCAGGTCATGATCCCAGGGCCCTGGGATCAAGCCCCGCATCAGGCTCCTTGCTCAGCAGGGAGCCTGCTTTTCCCTCTCCTCCTGGCTTGTACTCTCTCACTATCTCTCCTTCTCTCTCTCTTAAATAAAATCTTTAAAAAACAAAAAAAAAATGGGGTGGGGGAGGGGCAGAGGGAGAGGAAGAATCCTAAGCAGACCCCACACTGAGTGCAGAGCCTGATGTGGAGCTCAATCCCAGGACTGGCGACCATAACCCCAGCAGAAACCAAGAGTCAGATGCCCAACCAACTTTGCCACGCAGGCACACCGCAAAAGGAAAAATTTAAGTTTTGTCTGATTCAATGGGTTTTATAATTTTTTAATATTTTATTGATTTGAGAGAGAGAAAGTGAGTGAGAGAGAGAGAGAGCATGAGTCGGGGAAGGGGCAGAGGGAGAATCAGACTCCCTGCTGAGCAGGGAGCCCGATGTGGGGCTTGATCCCAGGATCCTGGGATCATGACCTGAGCAGAAGGCAGACACTTGACTAACTGAGTGACCCAGGCGCCCCGCAAGTCCATGGGATTTAGATGTGGGAGGTAAGAGAGAGAAAGCGGTCTAGAGTAGTTGGGTGAGTAGTTGGTGCCAATTATGGAGGAAAGGGAATGAGTTCAGTTTAGGATATGTGGAGTGTGAGATGGTCGTGACATAAATCTCAGAAGAGAGATTTTGGCTAGAGAATCATCACTACTGCTAAAGCTGTGGGAGTGCACACACAATAGCACAAATGGGCCTTCTTCGACTACATGGGATTTCCCACTGGGATCCATGTATACTATTCCTAGCATCGTATTTTTTTAGTGTCTGGCCCTATTCTAAGTCTTTTATTATCTCAGCAATCCTAAAACAATCCTTTGAGGTAAGTCTTATAATTCTTTTGGTTTTACAGATGAGGAAACTAAGACACAAAGAAATTACATGACTTCTCTGGTGTCCCAACTTTAGGAAGTGGCACAGCAGCTCTTTGCACCCAGGCAGGCTGGCTCTAGAGACCAGATCCTTACCAGCTCGGCCACAATGCCTCCTACAGTCCATACAAGGGGGATCATGAAATAACTGAGTATCTTTGCACACAAATATTTTGACAGTAAATTCTACATTACTGCTTCATCTGATTTTTATGCATTTAACTCCAGAAGCTGTTTCTCTAACAAAACTTCTCAAGACCTATGAGGTCTTCATTGTCCAGTTCCTACTGGACTACATTTTCAATCCATTCATTCTCTTAGTCACTTACTTTATACATATTTATTGAGAAACACAGTGTGCCAGAACCTCAAACTTAGCGTGTAAAAAACCAAATTCTTCATAGTTTTTCATGCCCTTCACAACAGTCCTGCTGGCATACCCTTACATTGGCTTCACTGCTTTACCATCTGCCTCTAGTCTTTGTCCTTCTAATCTATTCAGTGTAGTGCTTCTAGATTAATAATTCTGACTATATCACTTAATTTATTCATTCCCTTAGTAAAGCTTTATTGAGCACCTATTACACACTATTATATCTATTACATGATTATTGTGACACAATCTCCAAAACATCTTTACAAAGTTTAATAAGTGCACTTTCTTATCCATCACGGAAAACATGTATTAAGCAACTTACAGCACACAAGCAAATGCCATGCTAAGCAAATGAAAGACATTTAGAAGCTGTCAACTAAAGAATACATTGCATGGCTAATCATAAATTGTGGCTAAAATAGCTACTGCTTTCATCTTACTGTATGTGCTGCAGTTTTGTCTCCAAAGCCTTTGGGAAAAAGGCAGTTTTTTGTTTTTTGTTTTGTTTTGTTTTTAAGATTTTTATTTATTTATTGAGAGAGAGAGAGAGAATGATAGAGAGAGAGCATGAGAGGGAGGAGGGTCAGAGGGAGAAGCAGACTCCCTGCTGAGCAGGGAGCCTGATGTGGGACTCGATCCCAGGACTCCAGGATCATGACCCGAGCTGAAGGCAGTCGCTTAACCAACTGAGCCACCCAGGCGCCCGGGAAAAAGGCAGTTTTGAACTGATTCACTGTTCTAGGCACTAGATGTTAGAGATTAGAGCAGTGCCTGTCCTCATGAAGCTCATATTCTAGAAGGGGAGACAGGCAATAAAAACATAAGCAAATAAATATGTATCTGATGATAATAAGTAATATAAAGAAAAATAAAGCATGAAGTGTAAGAGACCTGAAGGAAGGGATGGATGATCCACACAGATATCTAGGATACGAGCGTTCTAGAAGGAGCTCACCAGTGCACTGGTACTAAGCCAGAGAGGCTGGGTGGAAGCAGAATCACACAACAGTACAAGAAAAAAAGATAGGGCCGTGGACCAGGGTGGCACAGGAGGGGACTTAAAAGTCTAAACTCCTAAGCTTTTCATTCAGTACTCTTCCCAGTGGGATGCCAATTTATATTGCCTGGTATTCTTATTCAGTACTTATGGTACACCCAAATTGAACTGCTTAATATGCCCCAAACATGTCTTGTGATTTGCTGCTAGTAAACTATATGTTGTTTCCAAAGCCTTGAATAATCGCCAAGTTTGGAATAACATAGCTTTGGAATCAGACTGATTCGGGCTCAAACACCAACTCTGCCCATTGCTTTATTTCTTTTTATCTTTTTTTTTTTTTTTTAGATTTTATTTATTTATTTGACAGAGAGAGACACAGCGAAAGCAGGAACAAAAGCAGGGGGAGTGGGAGAGGGAGAAGCAGGCTTCCCGCGGAGCAGGGAGCCCGATGTGGGGCTCGATCCCAGGACCCTGGGACCATGACCTGAGCCGAAGGCAGACGCTTAATGACTGAGCCACCCAGGTGCCCCCATTGCTTTATTTCTTAGTCTCTGTTTCCTCATCTGTAAAAGAGGTATTACAGTACCCACCTTCTAGGACTGTAATCAAGCTACAAGAAGACAATTCATATAATGCATACGGAAGAGTATAGCACCTGGTAACCCCTCGTCCAGTGAATCAATGGTAGCAATTAACATAAAAATAATACTGGTATATTAGAAATAAAGCATCACATTTTTTTGTATTAAAAGATCTATGTTTGATCTCCTGAGACACTAGTTAACTAACTGTGCTGTTAGCTTTCTTTCTCTCTTTTGTGAAATAAGGGTAATAATAGTTTCTAATTCATAAGGTTATTGAGGATCAAATATGTTTTCCAAAGCACTTTGTAAACTAAAAGCACTCTACAAATATTAGTTATTATATTAATAATAACCATCTGCTGGAAGAATGAGTGATTATTATGACACAATCTCCAAAACATCTTTACAAAGTTTAATAAGTGCACTTTCTTATCCATCACAGAAAACATTTATTAAGCAACTTACAGCACACAAGCAAATGCCATGCTAAGCAAATGAAAGACATTTAGAAGCTGTCAACTAAAGAATACATTACATGGCTAATCATAAATTGTGGCTAAAATAGCTACTGCTTTCATCTTACTGTATGTGCTGCAGTTTTGTCTCCAAAGCCTTTTGGGAAAAAGGCCATTTTGAACTGATTCACGTCTGCTTTGTTCTCATCAAAGTTGATAGTGAACTGCTGAAGATACCTTCCATAGCACTGTAAAAGCGCCAATTTATATTCCTGAAATAAAAAAAGGACTTGATGAAAGTTTCAAAGTATCATTTTGCTTACCATTATTAAAATCCAGTAATAATCAAATTATTCTTAATAGTATCAATGTTGATTATTACTATAACACTCTTTTACTACCACCATTACATTATTACTACCATTACCACTAGCATTTCTGAACACATATTGTGTGACAGACACCGCCCTGGGCGCTTCGTGCGCATTATTGCATTAATTCTCCTCCCAATAAGCCGAGATGAGACCAACACGATCTCAAAGATGAGAATATTCACCAGGGTGTGAATAATGATGACATAATAATGAGAATATTCACCAGGGTGTGTGTGGTAATACCTATATATACTCAAAATCCAAAAAATTCATCATCACCATGTCATGGTAATCCACCTACTCAGAGAGGCAGATGAGTTGCATAACTAGCCTTGCTTCTCTGATGCCTCCTAAGTTCTAAAAAAGAAAGAAAGGCGGGGTAGGGGAGGGAGGAAGGGTGGGAGGCAGGGAGGGAGAAGAGAAAAGGAGGGAGAAAAGGAGGAAGGAGGGAGAGAGAGAAAGAAGAAAGAAGGCAGGAAGGGAGAGGAGAGGAAAGGCATGCGCTCTCTCTCTCTCTCTCTCTCTCTCATCTGCCAACAGTCTCTGAAGCTGCATCAGGACAAATAAAAAAAAGCCTGAGCTACTGTTAGTTAGGATTCCTGTTAGTCCTAATTCATGCTTATGTTTCCATTACAAAATCAGGGCTCATTTCTGCAGTGCACAGGGCCCAGCTGACCTGGAGTTTCAGGGCAGGGGAGGTGAGCAGGGCTGTGGATATGAGTCAACTGCACCCCTTCGTCAGTTTCCTCCCCTACAACTGTCTCCAGGGAAAGCAACTATTATAGGTTCACCTGCCTATAGGGTTACCTAGGCCCTTGGAAGTCATCCACAGTCAAACTTTTGTTTCTATTTCTACTGACTTGTTTGTTACTTTTCACTAATTGATTCTGAATCTTTTCCCTTCTAACTTGGTTCATATGATAAATTCAAATCTAGGTTCAAAACAAGACTATTCCAACAAAATGATCTTTGCTGGAATTAAATAAAACTAAAGAGATTCTAGAACCAAAGGAACAACTCAAGTAAATTTTCAGGAGTCTAAATACCTTTATCAGCCCACTTTCTCATCAATGAAAAGTAGATTAAAAATGTTTTCTTTGTTCCTTTAAGTAAATTTTAAAATATCCTATCTGGGCCTTTCTATCTGAAATATTCTAAATCCTTAGCCACTACCCAGCTTGAACTTGCTTTATCAACTTCTAACATGGTCTTCCCTCCTCCCTCCACCAGTATCTGCTCCACCCACCTGAATACTCCACAAACAACACCAAACTGTGCTGTGTATCACCAGCCTCTTATATTGAGGAGAAGCATAAAAACAGATGGGACACTCTTGCTTGTCAAAACAGTTATCCCACTTCACATGAATACAGGTCACAAGTTGGATCTTGTCCATCAGTTTTTTTGTTTGTTTTCTGTAGTTTTCCTATAGAGAAACTTTTTTTCTATAGTTTTTCTTTATTTTTAAGTTTCTAAGAACTATGGTCCAATTACATGAAGCTAAGCTGATGCTCTAATTTTGGCAGCAGACAATAGATCGTCCTCATTTGAAATTTCCTCCACATCTCATCCTCCATTTGGTAAATTTCCCCCTCAAACCACCCCCCCCAAAAAAGAAAAGAAAAATAAATTCAAGTCCAGAAAATAGAAATGGAGGAGGAAAATGAAGCTGAAAAACTGAAAATCAAGAAAACATTGAAAATGGCCTAAAAACCGTTTGGATAAAAAAACTTTCAGTCCAAGGATTCTAGATGTGTCTACACATTCATATTTAACTCAGAATAATTTGGGCCTATGCCAGAGCTTAAGGGAAAAACTTATATGACTGTTAACCGAAAACCCAGCTATGGTGTGGTCTTACTGAACCAAGTCCACAAGTCCACAGCAATCCAACACCTGGGCACTGACAGGAACTAGAAATCTGGCACAAGCTCAGTTTGGACTACAATACTAAGCAAGAAACAGGGCACGTAAGGAATGACTGCTATCATTACATATGGCAAAACATTAAGGAGTTGAAAGTCATTAAAACAGGGCACTGGGAACCAGACAACATAGCAGCAAGGCCAAGAACCCATGAAAGTTGTCACTGGGCAAGGTCAGCCATGTGAAAAACAACAGGAAGTGGTGTCTGGGCTCCTTTGTATGAGGTAGGAACATGATGACTCAGCATTTCCTGTTGGGCACCTACCACACCCTCTGTTAACTAGGGGCTGTGAGCCTGCCCAACCCCAGCCGGTTGTCTTTCCGTTCAGGAATCTCTCACCTCTGGAGAATCTGAACTACAAAATTAAAAAACAAACACTTTTTTGGTTATGGTGCCTCATTAACATTTGTAGCATTCATTCATATTTTTCTACGAAAAAAATCAAATCATGTAAAATAGGAATGGTATCAAACCAAATAATAATTAGCCAAGTCAGCTTCATGTAGGCCCTTTTTATTCCAGAGGCACTTACTTTCATTTCACAAAGGCTATCGCCAACCTTCAGAAGCTTTTCATTGTAATAGGCAGCTGGCAGCCGGGGGGCATATTTGGTCCAGATATTAAACAAAGAGGTGGCGCTGTAAAAGTCATAAAATAAAATTATATCTTCAAAGTCAGCAAGAAACCTCAATTAATTAGCAAACAATCCTTAAAAACTTATTTTGTGCTGTCTTTCCAATGTGCCTTACTGTAAACGTCTAATTACTACTAAATACTGTTAAAATTATTGCTTCCTTTATGCCAAACACTGATCGAAGCTCTTTTTTTTTTTTTTTTTTTTTAAAGATTTTACTTATTCATTTGAGAGAGAGAGTGAGCAAGAGAGCACAAGCAGGAGGAGGGGCAGAGGGAGAGGGAAAAGCAGACTCCCTGCCCTGAGCAGGGAACCCTGCTCCATCCCAGGACCGGGGGATCATGACCTAAGCCGAAGGCAGATGCTTAACGACTGAGCCACCCAGGCGCCCCTGATCAAATTTCCTTATATTCATTTTTTAAAACAGATTTTACTTTTTAGAGTAGTTTTAAGTTCACAAAAAAATTGAGCAAAAGGTATGGAGATTCCCCATATACTGCATGCCCCACACAAATGCACAGCCTTTACCCCACCCCCTTATCAACATCCCCCACCAGAGTGGTATATTTGTTACAACTCATGAACCTACATTGACACATCATTATCACCCAGTATCTACAGTTTATTTTAGGGTTTACTCTTAATGTTATACATCCTATGGGTCTGGAAAAATGTATAATGATGGGAACCCATCATTATGCTATATGACACAAAGTAGTTTCACTGCCCTAAAAATCTTCTGTGCTCTGCCTACGTATCCCTCTCTCCCTTAACCCCAGGCAACCACTGATCTTTTTATTATCCCCATAGTTTTTGCCTTTTTCAAAATGCCATGTAGTTGGAACATACAGCATGTAGCCTTTTCAGACTGGCTTCTTTCACTTAGTAATACGCATTTAACATTTCTCCGTGTTTTTTCATGGCTTGATAGCTCCTTTCCTTTTAATGCTTAATAATAATCCCTTGCCTACATATACCACATTTTATTTATCCCTTCATTTACTGAAGGGTATCTTGTTTGCTTTCAAGTTGTGGCAACTGGAGTAAAGCCGCTATCAACATCCATGTGCAGATTTTTGTATAGGCATAAGTTTTCAACTCCTTTGGGTAAATACCAAAAAGTATGATTACTGGATTGTATGTTAAGATTATGCTTAGTTGGGACGCCTGGGTGGCTCAGTTGATTAAGCATCTGCCTTCAGCTCAGGTCATGATCCCGGGGTCCTGGGATTGAGGCCCACATTGGGGCTCCCTACTCAGCAGGGAGCCTGCCTCTCCCTCTGCCTGTTGCTCGCCCTGCCTGTGCTCTCTCTCTCTCTGACAAATAAATAAAATCTTTAAAAAAAAAAATAAAACTCTTAAAAAAAAAAAAAAGAGTATGCTTAGTTTTGTAAGAAACCACCAAACTGTCTTCCAAAGTGGTTGTACCAGTTTGCATCCCACCAGCAATGAATGAGGACTCCCTGTTGCTCCACATCCTCCCTTCATTTGGTGATGTCAGTGCCCTGGATTTGGGCCATTCCAATAGGTGTATAAGGGTATCTCATTGTTTTAATTTTCATCTTCTTAATGATATATGTTGGGGAGCATCTTTTCATATGTTTATTTGCCACTTGTATTATCTTCTTTAATGAGGTGTCTGTTAAAGTCTTTGACCCATTTTTTTAAATCAGGTTGTTTGTTTTCTTACTGTTGAAAGAGTTCTTTGTATATTTTGGGTAACGGTCCTTTATCAGATATGTCTTTGGCAAATATTTTCTCCCAGTTTATGGCTTGTCTTTTCATTTTCTTGATGGTGTCTTTCACAAAGCAGAGACTTTTAATTTTAATGAAGTCCTGCTTATCATTTCTTTTCTCCTGGACTGTGGCTTTGGTGTCATATTGGAAAAGTCATTATCAAACCCAAAGTCATCTAGATTTCTCCTATGTTATCTTTTAAGAGTTCCATAGAATTTTACATTTAGGTTTGCGATCCATTTTGAGTTAATTTTTGTGAAGGATGTAAGGTCTGTGCCGTTTTGCATGTGGATGTCCAGTTGTCCCAGCACCATTTGTTAAGAAGACTATCTTTGCTCCATTGTATTGCCTTTCCTCCTCCGTCAAAGATGAGTTGATTACATCGAGGGTCTATTTCTGGGCTCTCTGTTCGGTCCCATTGATGTATTTGTTCATTCTTTCACTGATACCACACTGTCTTGATTACTGTAGCTTTAGAGGAAGTCTTGAAGTCAGTCTTCCAAATTTGTTCTCCTCCAATATTGCGTTGGCTATTCTGGGTCTTACGCCACATGCATTTTTGTTTTCATTTCATTTCCACAACAACCCTGAGATAGGTAGTATCAATTTCCAGTTGTATAGTTGATGACATGGAGGCTCAGTGCATCCATGATCTTAACTAGTATATTACTGGGCCTTCCTGTCCTCTGGAATGTAAACTATCTGAGGGCAAGGACTTGGACTATGTTATTCATTGCCCAGCCTCAAGAGTAGTGACTATCTAGTATATACATGTTCTCAATAATTATTTGTTAAAAGAATGAATGAATACATAAATGACTAGGAAAAAAAATTTCTTGTTCTTGTTTTATTTTTTTCCATAAAGAGTTCAGGGATTTCACTATCCAGTCAGTCCATTAGGGTTCTGTTTCTTTCCACCAAGTAAACAAAAATAAAACATACAGTATTCTCAACATGGTTTCTAATTAGTTTCAAAGGGTAGCAGATCACTGCTTATTTTGTTCATTCATTTAGTTAACATTTACTCCTTCCCTCTCTCTCAGAAATTATAAATGCCTCTAGGAAAACTCCAAATTTCCCTTAACAGTTGTCCAAGCCTATTTCATAAATTTCTAGATGAGGACAGTGTTATGTACTGAATGAGTGTGTCCCCTTGAAATTTTTTTGTTGAAGTCCTAACCCACAGTGTGGCTGTATTTGGAAAAGGGTACTCTAAGGAAATAATTAAGGTTAAATGAGGTCATAAGGGTGGGGCCCTGGTCTGATGGCATTAATGCCCACCTAAGAAGAACACCAGAGAACTCTCTTTCTCTCTCTCTTTCTTTGTACTTGCTCAGAGGCAAGGCTATGTGAAGACCAAGTGGTCCTCTACAAGCCAGGAAGAGTGCTTTCACCAGAAACTGACCCTGCAAGAACCTGATCTGGGACTTCTAGTCTCCAGAACTGTGAGAAAATAAATTTCTGTTGTTTAAGCCACCCAGACTATGGTGTTTTGTTATGGCAGCAAACCGACTAATTTATAATTACTAATTAGTAACTAATAGCCCAAATTGACTAATACAGGTAGGAATGTAAACTTAGGGACTGAAGATGGCTCTAGTACTTATGATGTATATGTTGGGATATTATCAGAACAACCTCAACAGAAACATGTCGATTGATTCATTCAAATAATTTTGTTTAATTCATTCAAATAACTAAATGATATTTAGTTACAAGGGAGGGATAGGGGACAGGATATTCTTGCCTTCTTCGACTGATGAGTAATACTTTAGGATATGAAAATATATACATGTACCAAGTAGTAAATAACCATGCCCAAAAAATTGTGTGGGAAATACAGCCATAGAAATTTTAAAAGGAAGAGGTTTTTTGGTTTAGGCTTTTTTGTTTTTTGTTTTTCTTAACCTTTTCACTCTCATTTGCTGCTTTCATGAAATGTCACAGTATTAGAATAAATATAATGAATCTCAAAAAGTCAGCAAGTCTTGCTAGAATTCTTAAATTATGTAAACAAAAGACTTAATTCTTTCAAATCTTAAAGATGAGATAATGATGACTATGTTTATTACTCATAAAAGAAAAATACCAGCTTTGTTAAATCAATCAAGGTTATATAATGAGATCATTTTTTTTTTAAGTGAACTTTAAGTTCAAGTTAAGACTGCTCACTGGGAATGACTTACATAATGATTAAACAAGGAAAATATAACATACACTACATAATGTGCATCATTTAAGAAAACGTTAATACCCTTTGGATTGCTGACTTATTATAGCTGCTGCTGGATAGTTAGAATTCTCTAAAATAGAAAATTGTAAATGATATCTAAATCTCATGTGGTTATAACAAAAGCATACCTTTAAAAAAATCTATCATATTCCGAATTTAATAACATTGCCAATATGATCAAACTCTATATTTTAGATCCTGTGAATGTTTATGCTTACGTAAATTCCTATAGTTACAAAAAAATTTTTTATTTTAAAAAATAACCATCTCTCAAATACATTATAAAAGCAAATCCTACCTCCTGTATTCTTAACTGGCCACCACATTGTCATTCTTACTCCACTTGGACAAGATTATATAAATATGTATATATAATATTAAATAAGGTTAATCCCTTGCCCAAAACTACCCAATGCTTTCCCACTGCATTTGGAATAAAGGCAAACTGTGTAAAAGGCCTCTAAAACCTTCCATAGCCCTACCTATGTCTCTAACCTCACCTCACACCACTGCACCCACACTCACTAAGCTATGCTTAATGGGCTTCTGTACATTCCTCCCAAGTCTCTGGCTCTTTCCTGCCAAGATCTTCCCACATGCTTGTTCCCTCTGTTTATCCTCTCTCCTTGCCTGTTATCCTTCTAATCTCAGCTTAATGTCACCTCCCTCACCATTAGCTTGAAAGTAGGTCCGTGCTATGTGCTCTTTAAGCTGCTGCTCAAGTGTCACCTATTGTGACCACATTACTGAAAATTGCAATCTTGGGCACCTGGGTGGCTCAGTCATTGAGCGTCTGCCTTCGACTCAGGTCGTGATCCCAGGGTCCTGGGATTGAGTCCCACATCGGGCTCCCTGCTCTGCGGGAAGCCTGCTTCTCCCTCTCCCATTCCCCCTGCTTGTGTTCCTGCTCTCGCTATGTCTCTCTCTGTCAAAAAAATAAATAAAATCTTTAAAAAAAAAAAAAGAAAAGAAAATTGCAATCTCCTCTCTCCCACTCCATAACCCTTCCTCTCTTTAGTTTTCTCCCTAGCATTTGTCACTTTCTAGGTTACCATAAAGTGAATTTATTTCATATGTTCATTGCCTACCTCCTCCTCTAGAATATAAGCACCAGGAAGGCAGGGCTCTTTATCTGATTCACTGGTGGATCCCCAACCCCTAGTACAATGCCTGGCACATGTAAGTGCTCAGTAGCTTCTTCCTTCATAGCACCTGTTGTTTGTATATTGACTTAATGACTCACTGAAAGCTTATCTCTCTCTCTGCCTCTCTAGACTATAAACTCCATGAGCACAGATTCCCTATCTATTTTGTTCACCACTATATAACCTATGGTTAGTGCAATGCTGGGCACAGAGTACACATTCAATAAAAGTTGTTGTGTAAATAAATAAATACCTAAAATGTGTGAGAGTTTAGATTGCTAAGGTCCATGTCAATCGTTAAGGTTTGTGATTCTCTTATAGTCTCTTTAAAGATGAAACAGATACTCTACTTACGAACTGGCCCAGGTCTACTTTCCCATATATAACATTAACTATTATTGAAAATACAAGGATAATAATCCTTGAATTCTTTCAATACCAAATACTCAATGAAAGTTTGCTCTAGGGGCACCTGGATGGGTCAGTCAGTTAAGCGGCTGCCTTCGGCTCAGGTCATGATCTCAGGATCCTGGGATCGAGCCCCACATCAGGCTGTCTGCTCAGCGGGGAGTCTGCTTCTCCCTCTCTCTCTCTGCCTCCTCCCCTCCCCCCACTCATGCTCTCTCTCAAATAAAGAAATAAGAATCTTCAAAAAAAGAAAGAAAGGAAGGAAGAAAGTTCGCTCTATCCCAACCACCAGGCTAGTTGCTAGAGATAGAAAAATGAAAAAGAGACATGTTATCCAAAGTCAGCAGGGACTTCCATTCTAATGGGGGAAACAGATAATACACAAGAAAACAAATAAATAAAAAATATAAATGGGTGGCTGAACCTGCATTAAATAGGAAAGGCCACACTCTACAGAGGTAAGAACTGAGCTAAGACCTGAAAGAAAAGAAGAAGCCAGCTATTTGAAAAGCTGAAGATACAACATTTCAGACAAAGGCGGAAGCAAATATAAAGGCCCTGGGATGAAAAAAATAGGATCTGTCTCCCTGGAAAGTCCTGAGAGAGAAGTGAGGGATCGGCTGAGTTGGAAGAGGCAGGCAGGGCCAGATGCTCAGACCCTGGAGCACAGAAGGAGTCTTAAATTTATTCTAACAGCAATAGGAAGCGATAGAGAGTCTTGAGATAGGAGAGTGGGTGGTTGATTTATAAAGGTTACCCTTACTGCTAAAGTGAAGGATAGATTTGAGACTCCAGAGGCTGTGGGGAAAGCACAATCTGGTGGTTTGAACTACAGCGCTGGTCATGGAAATGGGAAGATAAAGTGCTATCTAAGGCATAAGTGCAGAAATGTTTTAAATATAAATATACATAGCTTAGTAATGCACTTTCCTTGGTCAATTCTCGGTTCTCATCTTACTTGGCCCATTAGCAGGATTTGCCACTGTGAATAGACCATTCCTTCCTACTTTGAAACGGTTTCTCTACCTGACTTCCAGCACACCACACACTTACTGGTTTTCATCCTACCACCCTGGCCACTCCTTCTTAGTCTCTGCCACTTTCTTATCTCCTCTACTTGTCAATGTTGCTCCATCTACACTTACTCCCTTAGCTATTAAGTCAAGTGTTATGATTTAAATATCAATAATATGGGGGCACTTGGGTGGCTCAGTCGTTAAGCGTCTGCCTTCAGCTCAGGTCATGATCCCAGGGTCCTGGGATCGAGCCCCGCATCGGGCTCCCTGCTCCGCGGGAAGCCTGCTTCTCCCTCTCCTACTCCCCTTGCTTGTGTTCCCTCTCTTGCTGTGTCTCTCTCTGTCAAATAAATTAAATAAATAAATAAATAAATAAATAAATAAATAAATAAATATCAATAATATACTAACGAATCCCAAATGCATATCTCTTTTGACCTCCAGACTCAAATGACCAACTACGGATGCAATAGCTCTGCTTGGATGTTGAATTACATTTCAGTCTTCATATATCTAAAACTAAATTCTTGGGATGCCTGGCTGGTTCAGTCGGTGGAGCATGTGACTCTTGATCTTGGGGATGTGGGTTAGATCCCCACACTGGGTGTAGAGATTACTTAAAAATAAAAAAATATATATTTTACAAAAAGAAAACTAAACTCTTGATCTGCCTCTCTCCTACCAGAAACCTGTTCTTCCCACAATCTCAACCCCATCCCATTCTCCCTTGTGGCCAACTCTTCCTACAGAAATCTTCATCACTTGCTATTATATCTCTTTCTCATCTTTCTCAAAGGCCACTTTTCCCGACTTAATCTGACCATGCTCCCAGACACCCCCATTTTAAATTTCAACACCATATCTTCTATCCCCACACTCTGCTCTAATTTTCTCCCTAGCACTTCTTTCCCTGTAAAATGATTTCTTGACTTGTTCAGTAGCTGTCTGTGGTAACAAAAAATATATGCTTCACGAGGGTACAAATTGTTCTATCTTTTGTTAATTTGGTGTTTTCCTAGTTCCTAGAATGGTACCTGATATATAGTAGATGTTCAATAAATAGTTAAATGCATTAATGAATAATAAATGTAAGTTAAAACTATTTCTTCATATTAAATACATGAATGAAAAATAAAAGTTGAGATTATTCACTATTCTGGTATTCTTTGACATTTGTCTACATTTTTATTGTTCGGTTTGCAAGGTATTTTGACGGGGAAAGAAAGATGGTAACATAATCAGGAAAGACCCTTAAAAATAGGAAGTCTGTCGCTCAGTCGTAACCTAGGGGTAGAACTCCCAAAAAGGCAAACATGTATGCAAAACGAGTACAAAATCGGTAAAAAATCATTGTGACCCTAACAACAATATAAAAAGGAACTGAAGTATAAAAGGGAGTTAAAGCGCACATGTTCACAGAACCACATACTTCGTGGCATCAAGAACTAACTTTTTCAAGAACCTAAGCTACCTCAGTTATTTCTTTTTCCTCATACACAAAATCCCACCCACAGCATGGAAAGTTGTGAAACCCCGGAGCCCCTGAGCGAGTCAAAAATTTATTGGCATGGAGTAGCTTAGCGACTGGGGGACATTCAGCAGGAATGGTGAGTTACGAAACACTTCTGTGTCGATTTTTATTTCGACCCGAGCAGGTAGCCGAAGTGTGACATTTACCAGGAATTAAGGACTGTAACAGCGAAGAGTCTCCACTTCGTAAACTCTGCTTTTCCCTCCAGGTCCGCAACGCTCACCCAGCTCTGGCATTACCGTGGGCATCCTTAAGGGCATCTCCTCTGGCCCCAAGAGTCGCCCTTCTCCGGCCGGCGCCCTCCCCAGCGCCCTGCCTCTGCTTACCAAAGCCGGTGGAATTCATGCTTCTGCTCCTCCGTTATCGCTAACGCCTTCTTTCTCTTCATAAAGCCTAGCAATTCCCGGACTTCCCTCTCGCAGGAGGCCAGGAGTGGGTTTTTAGCGTCCAGGGGCCCATAAAACACGGCGAGGGGCAATGAGTTCTCGAGGCAGGCGGAGCGAGGCACTGGGCTCGGGGAGCTCTCCTTCGACTCCACGGGCGACTCCGAGAGCGCGTTCGAGGTCGGGGGCGGGGTCGGCGGCGGTCCCGGCGGGGACGGGGACGTGGGAGACAGGTTGAGGGGAGAGGTCGAGGAGGTGCCTAGCGCCGCCATATTGACGAGACCCCGGCCGGCTGCAAGCGTGTGTGCACGCGGTTGCCTGGCGACGGTCTCGCGGCAACCAGGCGTCCAGCGCGCTGTCGGGGAAACACAGCGGCCCCTGGAGGGCAAAGGAGGAAAGAACCCGGCCCAGAAAGAAACGACGCTCCTGGGGGCTTTTTTTTTTTTTAATATTTTAATGAAATTGTCATGTCATCTCTTTTCATTACATATTTATTAATACAATATTATTACCAATAATGATCTCTTTTCATTTAACAATTTCTCCTTTAATCTTCATTTATATTTTCTCATATTTTTATATGAGAAATTTTCTCATTATATTTTCTCATATACAGCAAGGAGAAACCAAAGGACACTTTTAATACTTGGGATGGAAAATCTTTAGGCAAAATCAGCAAGTTCTTTAAGCACATTTTTTTGTCTTTTTTTTTTTTGCCCTGAATCTTCACTGGCACTGCCGTATGACAGAAGAATAGAGAGAAGGTTTTGGACAGAGAGCCAGCGAATAGTAGAGCCAAAAACTTACGATTACAAATCAGACTATACTCGTTTTCCATTTCGACCACTTAATGGTGATAATGGTCATTAATATGTGCCAGGCATTGTCCTAAGCATTTGAAACATAATCTCTCATTTAATCATGATAACAGCTTTACCACTTAGGGTATTATGAGTATCTCCATTTCACAGTTTAAGAAACCAAAGTTCACGGACCAAGGTCAGAGTAAACTGTAGTGTCAGGGACCAGATCCCAGCCTTCTGACTCCAAAGCCTGTGCTCAAAATGAGTAAGTTTCACTGGCCATCCTCAAAAAAAAACAAAAACAAAAAACTAAGCTTATCAATCAAATCAAAATTAGGAAAATATAAAAAAAAGTAGGAAAATATCTGACAACCAGTTTAAGAATCAAGTACATGGGGGGCACCTGGGTGGCTCAGTCGGTTAAACCTCTGCCTTGGGCTCAGGTCATGATCCCAGGGTCCCACATGGGGCTACCAGCTCAGCAGGGAGCCTGCTTCTTCCTCTCCCTCTGCCGTTCCCCCTGCTTGTGCTCTCCCATTCTCTCACTCTCTCTCTCAAATAAATAAAATTAAAAAAAAAAAATTAAGTACATGCAAATGATCCATTCCCTTCCCTCTATTTGTACCTTGAGGTCTGTAACTATGGAGATGATGGCTGTGCTTAACAATTAGGGTTACATTATAGTTCTTTATTTGTATTTCATCCTTATTATCACTATATTCTAAATTAATGAGCATTTCACTCAACATTAACTGCCGGACATTAATGCACACTCGTGGCTTGAAGTGTTAACTCTCAAAATACTTTTGCATTTTAAACAGAGATTTTAGGAAACTTGCTTCTGATGGAGAAACTATAGGCCTTAAGGAAAATATATGGGGGCAAGGGAAGTTCTTCTTTCCTTACATATTATGGGCAACAGGAAGTTTATTTACTTACTTAAGGTATAAGTTTCTAACTCATAGGGAACTTGCTTGCTTTATAAACTATGCAATGCCAAAAATTATCTAAGAGAAGAAACAGAAATATTTGATGTCTTAGAAAAATAGGTCTTTAACACTGAAAAGTGTTACTGGTTCTGTCACACATAAGAATAAATAAAGATAGTGACCCTAACACCCTGTGAGCCCAATTTCCCACTTAAGATTAAGAAGCTTATTGGACCACAGCTTGATTTCTTTCAGGTCTGACCTAATTTCTTGCAGGCTCTGTGGGCCTGTGCTAATTTATGAGGCTGGCCTAATATGTCATGTATACTGTACTCTAATATTCTTTGAAGGAAAATGATCTTTTGCTCTTCAAGACAGGTAATTATGACCCAAGAACCTTCTTGGCAGGCAGTGAGGTACCTTCACACCTCACTGTAGGAGTTCAATTCTCCAGTCAGGATAAACAAATCATTCTTCGATTAAGATTTTATCTTGTCTCTAAGTGAGCAGTAAAAATGTTAAGACCTTGAAGAATTTAGGCCTAAAGAAGTAATTCATTCTTGGGGCATTTACAAAAAGTATTAAGAGAGCTTTTATTTAAAAAAAAACAAACAGCTTGGTAAATTCTTTATCTTCTCATCTTCTCCTTGTTCTCACATAACAGACTTGGCTATTTTAGATCAAAAGCTGATGTAATCTGCCACTGAGTACTATTATATTGATGAAAGTGAAACTGCAGGATAAAATTAAATTAAAGTGGTCAGAGAGGAGGAAGGAAAAGAAAAATAAAACAGATGAACTGGGGTTTTTTCCCCTGATCTGTCTGCTCTCACAAACAACCTTACTAAGAGTGCAGGCACTTACATTTCAATGTCACTGGTAAAAGAAAATGTGACTTATTAAATTCAGATACTTGAATTATGCATCTTAGTCACAGCATTGCTTCATAGTCATTTTCTTCCTTGCAAATACAAAGTTGACAATGCTTCACTTGCCATAGTTTTTAAAAGCTTGCCTGAATATTTAAATGGCTGCCGTACTCTGAATCATCGTCGTGCTAAGATGGAAGCTTCCATTTTGTTCAGTTTAAATTATATTCGAAATATTTTTTAACATTTTCGAGGTGTTATCTTTCTTGTAATGAGATGCAGCTATTAGAATATCTTTTCTACTCCCTTGTCACTTCACTTTATTCTTTCCACTGTAGTGAAAGAATGGATCTCTGCAACTACTGTGTCTGGCAGGGCTAAATAATGGAAATAGCTTCCTTATAAATAATGTAAATTGCTGTTTCCTTATAATTAGTGTCTTTGTAGGCTGCAGGGATCCTTTTTGCCCATTCAAAAGTCTTTATCATCTAAAGTTACTGTTACAGAAGGAATAAATAAGGTTAGGACTCTCTCAATTCCTAATTTAGTTGTTAATCATTTGGACTGTCCCAAATATGTACCTACATATGGTCTTAAAAAAAAAAAAAGCACAAAGATCTCCTTTTCCCACCTCATCACCCAATATTTAAACTTTTTAAAAAACTTCTCCATCCTTTCATTTAGGCCAATGCAACAATTTCTTTAGTGTGTCATACAATGCATAGGTGAACCCACGCATTCCTTATAAGAAGCAGATGACACACAACTAACCATGATAAAAAGGTATGCTGTGAAATGTGCTGGGATAAAGATTTAAAACATGCTGTAGGAGTCCCAAGATGAAGCCTGGAACTGGAAAAAGACCAGACGATTCTGGAAAAGGTGATATTTTAGCCCTGGACTGTCCCTGCTCCCCATTAACAGAAAGCACCCCGCAACAGGGAGTTGCCTATTTACTGTGATAACCCAGGCCCCGAGCCTGGAGCCTGGCACAGAGTTAGTATGCCTTAACAAATCCTTGTTGGAACGAGTGAATGGAAAAAAATAAGACGGAGAACATTTAAAAGGATATCACTGACTGAGAAAAAAGCCTGAGTAAGGTACAAAGTTATAAACATACACGACGAGTTAAATAAATCATCTGTCCAGTGTGGTGAACCAAAGACTACAGTAGATCCAGGGGCAAAAGGTGAGGCAGAAAGAGAAGTGTGATCAAATATAGTAGGCAGTTGGAAAGTGTGCTAAGAAACTTTGACTTAGTTCTGTATTCAGTGGGAAACCTTAGGTTAGAAGAAGAGTATAATTAAAAACAGTAGGGATTAAAAGCCCAAATTCTGGAGCCAGAAAGCATGGTTTGAATTCCCACTTCTTCCAAGTTGCTCGACTTCACTGTGCTATGGTTTCCTCATCTGTAAAATGGAGTGAAATAATAATCCTACTTAACTCAGTTTTGTTTTGTTTAGAATTAAACGAATTAATATGTGTAAAACCCATAAAATAGTGCCTGGCACACAGTAAGGGCTATACAAATGTTTGCTAATATAATTACTCACTTGGGAACCCTCAAATAGTCCCAAATAGAAAAGAACACAACCCACTCTGTATTTGACATATTTTAGAAGGGAAACTATGATGGCAGAATAAAAGATGGATTGGAGTAAGGAAGGTTACATCTGATCTCAGCTGCACAAATCATCACAATGATTATATACTGTCAACCATGAGACAGAAGTAGCCAAACTAAAACCTTAGACACTGAGGCAGAATCCATAGGAAACTAAATTCTAATCAATACAGTAAAAGGAGACTCACAGAGTAATATGTAATTTATATAATAATTCTACGTATAACATATATGTAATATATATAAAACAGTTGTAAAATAGTAGAAGAAATTCTAACATGTATTTATTATTCTAACATATATGTATTTATGGTCTTGAAGTAAAGCCTTTCCTAAAAGGTACAACAGTAAAAGACAGAAAGGAAAATACTAATAGTAACTTGAATACATTAAGATAAATTTTTAGAAGGGTAAAATATAGTACAGCAAAAGTAGAAAAGCCACACACTGGAAAAATATATTTGTAATGCATGACCTACTGTGTGAACACCATGTCGATAAATATCACCAGCATGTTCAGATAAAAGATACTGCTTGGGTAAATTAAACAGGTTTACTTATTAAAAGCTACCAATGGAAGTCAGTATAGTCAGGACATATAACAAAGAGATCAGCAACATTATCCAGGACAGATGGGAATCTCTGTTTCCAAAACCTAAAATTTTCACCTGTGGCACACAGCTCTAGATGGTAATATCCCTGCATCTTCCAAGTCTTTGAGGCTTGAACAAGTATCTGCGATTCCTCTGGAGTGCAGTATTGCTTCTTTTTTTTTTTTTTTAAGATTTGATTTACTCATTTATTTGAGATAGTGAGAGAGAGAGCACATGAGAGGGGGGAGGGTCAGAGGGAGAAGCAGACTCCCTGATGAGCAGGGGGAGCCCAATGCGGGACTCCATCCCGGGACTCCAGGATCATGACCAGAGCTGAAGGCAGTTGCTTAACCAACTGAGCCACCCAGGCGCCCTGTAGTATTGCTTCTAACTGAACACTTTGGTGTGGACAGTTTCAGACACTTATGCCTGGCCCTTCCACCCATAACAACTCTAAGGCCACAGGTTAGGGATTCAGTGTT